CTCTTAAACCGTTGGACATACGGAAAAATTGCATCAGACCTTTCTTATAGAGGACGACGAGATCTACAATTTCCATGTAAAATTTTTTCGCTAGCTTCAGTAGTTAACGAATAATTTGCAAAAAACTTTTTTTTCGTTTTTCGTCAATAACTCGTAAACTATTCATGCTAGCGAGAACTTTTTATACAGAAATTGTAGATCTCGTCGTCCTCTACAAGAAAGGTTCTCTGCAATTTTCTCGTGGGTGCAACGGTTTAGGAGTTATTGAGGAAAAACGAAATTTTTTGTAAAAAGTTCGCTGTTTCGACGGTGGAATGGTCGGATTTCGTCAATGCCAATAAAACGCCATATAATCATACTTAACTCGTTAAATACTGAAATTAGAAGAAAAATGCATAGAATCTTTCTTGTAAAGGATGTCAGTGCCTAGAACTTCTGTATAAAAAGCCAGCGTCGATAATTAATTGGATATTTCCTTCTATACTTTTTAGCACGTAGCTATTTATTATTAGCATTGTTCTTCCGATGTCTAATTTCTTTTTAATTATAGGAAATGCGTTTTTGTAAGGTACATAAACTTTCGGGATTGATTGTATAGTCAATACATCCTTAAGCTGCCAGATTCGAACTAAACTGAATTAAACGGTCCTATGCCATGCCGCCCATGCCTTTATGCAAAGATTTCCTTTACCAAAGAAAGTTTTATTTTCTAATTGCTTTATTCCCTTGGTAACGATTTTTATTTCAAATTACTTGAACTCGTATTCATCTCAAGACACGTATATTTATTTTTTAAAAATTCGAAGGTCATAAAAGCGCATGTTTCGTGATCTGATTAGGGGAAGCCTTCCATGCCTAGCAAGCATTGTCCCGGGAATCCGCTGATCTGAAAGGGGACAAAGGAAAACACGCGAGGCTTATGGCGTATTTTGAAATATTTAGTAGCGATGGAACTAATTGAATTATTGTTTAAAAATGTAAAAACGAAAGTTACGTTTCACTTATGAATAAGTCGGACACGAAGTTGCGAGTTTTAACGAGTCCGCGACAATTGTTGGACGTCGATTAGAATATTCCACTTGCGGTTGTACTCTCGGGCCAGTTGCGAAATCAAAGAGCGCAACACGGCATAAACGGTAACAAACTGTCGGCAGACGGTTATTATTAGAACGCATGTGTTATAAATGATCGCCTTTGTGTACCTTCAACGCGATAAACTGATTTTGTGGGCGTCTCGCATCTCGACCGGTCTGGTTAAGAAATAATTTTCCGTTACTCGTGAGCAAATAACGTCAGCGGGAACTGTCGAAAACGGCGACGACACTGCGTGAAGCAAATCATGGAAATTTTTCTTTCAAATATTACTTCGTTATTCTTAGAGCGATAAGAAGTGGCTCAGTCAACGCATTTCTGCAGAATGCATATGTTTTATGTTTCAAATTAGTCATCGTTGTTCAAGTCTTTTCATCAATGATAAATACATACCTCTTATTCCTTATTTATATTTTCGTAGAACGTTATCGATATTCATGTTTCTGCAATAGGGATTAATTATTTCAACCTTATTTATATACTCGCCAGAGTCATTTGTAAATATATTAATGATAAGATACATTTCTTAGACGATCGTAAAATCAACTTTTGTAAGCAGCAATGTGACTGTACGCACTTGAACTCATTGAAAAGGAAAGCATATGTATATATGTATTTCAATAAACATGACGTGAAAGTTTCGAGTTAGTGCTAATGAAACTTGAATGCAATTATCTTTGTACCGTATAATTGCCGATAAAATTCTGATTCTATATCGCGTTCCAGGAATTCCAGACCTGTGTTCAATTAGCCATCGCGAGTGGAACAAAACAATACTTCTGCAGGTTTTAGAAAGTTTTCCCGTTTTCTCTCGGAATGTCCATTCACCTGGTTTCCTCTAAATTAAAGCCGACGAGAATTGGACGAGCCCTTGAGAATAGTTAACATTTATTTTTCAGCCATGATTCGCTGTAAGATTTAAAATCATCTGACTAAGTGTCTTAATATAACGTGAAGAATATCTACTCGAAAAACTTGAATATTATTAATTGGTCGAGGCTTTTGTAATATCAGCTTAGAGAATGAAATCGTTTATCTTTCAAAATTATAATGCATATTCTACAATTAGATACATACATTATTTATATTTTTGGCATCTCAGAATTTTGTATAAATGTATAAAATACGCGGTTTAATTATTAATCTTAACTAATTAAAATTTTGTTCGATGTTTATAGAATTCCTTCGGCAGGCCTGATGATATCGTCGCGGCGGAAACGCTGGCGAATCACGTCCGCTGCAATAATTCGTTCGTGCACGCGGTGTTCCAAGCCCAGTTTCGGTCTAGTCTCACGTGTCCGAGGTGTCACCGACAGTCGAACACGTTCGATCCTTTCCTCTGCGTGTCGGTGCCTGTCCCGCAGCATCACCGCCAGATGAACCTTTTCGTGAACGTCCTCTACACGTCGCAGCAACCGCGGCAAGTGAAGATCGGCGTAAGCGTTAATCAAACGGCCAATGTGAGGGAACTCAGAGAGATTCTGGCCAGCGACACTGGCATCGATGAGAATCATATGTTACTCACAGAAATCCACGACGAAGGATTTCACAGGTAAAAAACTCTACTTCTGTACGTGAAATGATAAATTATTTCAGAAAATCTGTATTTCTTTTTAACGATAATAATATTGTATATTTTGTTCTGATTGTTACAGAACTTTTTCCGATTGCCAACCCCTATCTGTGATCACGGAAAACGATCCACTCTATTGCATAGAACTGCCACAACTGAAGGAACCCACGGAGCAGGCGTACATCCTGCTCGTGTGGATCAACGTCCTCGTGAAAGGGGACTTGAGACAACGTTTCGGCAGCCCCTACACTATGCAAGTGTCTAGGGAAACGTCGTACGAGGACTTGCAGAAGCTTCTGTTAAAGGAGATGCATAGCGTTTTAGCCGATGACGTTCTTACGTCGAGTCAAACTCCTGGCCTGTTTAACATTAGAGTGGCGGATCCTGCTGCTACGCCTATTCAGGACGAGCATCCTTGTATAGATCCCTGTGTGGAGCATCCACTTTACACGGAACAGATCGAACAAGCGCTGGCTCTCTGCGCCGATGACTCCGGTCCTCAACATGTGAAATTAATCTTGGAGTGGGACGAAGCCGCTAAAAGTAACATCATTCAGGATGACAGTGATCAAATCGAAGAACATGCCAGTGTGAAGCAGTTAAAGACTAATTCGGAACTCGGTGGTGCCGTCACTCTGGAAGAATGTTTTGACTTGTACACGAGAGCCGAGATATTAGGCGCGGAAGACGCTTGGCATTGTCCGTATTGTAATAAAAAACAAGAAGTAGTGAAGAAGTTAGGCCTATGGTCTTTGCCAGATATCTTGGTCATTCACCTAAAAAGATTTCGACAGCAATCGAAGCAAAGATCCACATCGAAGTTGACTATGTTAGTTGATTTTCCATTGTACGGTTTCGATATGACTCCTCATCTCGCTCACAACGGTGTTCAGGCGCATAATAACGTTGGTAGTTTAGGCGGTTTGGGCTGGTCGCCTTGGAAGAAGCCCAGGCCTCGACAGCAGAATATCCCGAAGTACGACGAAAACGTCTACGACCTTTACGCGATCTGTAATCACCACGGTCAGGATTTGCAAGGTGGTCATTACACCGCGTTCTGTCGGAACCCGTACGATACTCAGTGGTACTGTTTCGATGACACTCGAGTGGAGGCCGTGAACGATACCAATTTAATAACGAACGCGGCATACATGTTGTTCTATCAACGGCGGGGTTTAACGAACAATTCGGGAAATTCATCGGCTGCATCGACTAGCTCAGCCGGCTCAGGGCTCGATCATTGGGTATCGAAGATGCCTCCTTTCTATTTCAACAATAAGACTAATAACAATGTTACGAACAACAATCAAAGTAAATCGCAGGAAGTTTTGTGTCAAGATAAAATCGTCGAGGAAAAGAACATGACGAATTTCAACAGAGGGTGTCGCAACTATGCTACTTTGCAACCCAAGAAGAGGAACGTTGCGACAGAGACAGATATTGGTCAGATCGACCATTACTCAGACGATGAAGCACCTTGTAGAAGAGAATGGGTAAGTTTCGAAGTGGATAACGTATGCCATTGTAAACTATTGTAAACTGTTGTCATCCTAATTCTCTAATTATGATTACAGGCCTCACCGAAACCTATCCGGAAGATGTCGTCTATCACGTTAACGCCCCACGTACCGCAGTCCACGATAATTCACAGTGCCAGTAGTGATCCAGACACAACGATAATACACGAGTCGACGTTGTAACACACAATTTAAGCCAGATTCAATCTGGCTCGAGCAACGCTCAATGTATAGTGCCTGGAACATGGTGTGTGGACGATCAACAGACAACAGTTAGAACTGAAAAGACGATTGCTCGCAAAAGTTAGATCCATTCGCGTTTCGTATCGAACAATCGATATACGTAGTCCATTTAGAAGAGAATTACAAAAATTTCAGTCCGAATTTGTACGTATGATTTTCTTTTGTATTAGGCATCAGCCGAGAAAGATATGTCAAGAGCCTCTCTACAACGTCTCTTCTTAAAAATAAAAAAAAAAACAAATCGCTACTTTCGACGAACATTTTCGAGGAACGAAAAACGAAGCTCGAGACATTAATGATTTTTTTGTATTTATAAAGTGTTTATATACAAATCGCGTGAATTGTATTGTACATTGTAGTTATTAGAAAAGACTTTTTAAGAAATGGACAAATGTTCTATTCAGTATCAAGAGCTACGAATCCCTCATGTACGAATCGTCTATTGTTGATACTTAGATTTTCAACGCAATAGATATCCAATATCCTACATATGTCCAGTAAGAATGTACGTGTGTCAAAGAAACTTTGTGCGCGACCCTCACCCTTTTTCAAACCTGCATGCGTCGCGTCACGATGAAACAATGACAATAACTGAATCCTGGACGTCCATCAGGATTCACGTATTAAAGTGATTTCGTTCCCAATAAATGGTTCTTACTTGGACATACTATGTAGTCGCTAACCGTTGCTTTGGATCCATGCTTAACTATAACATTTATATCGTATTTGTATCATCCACTAGTGGCCTTATCTCAGTAATTAATAAGAGTCATTCGCAACGTATAAACATACTACAATTCGCCGGTGTTTTATTACTACACACATCGACATTGCAGCGTGAAAGCCACTGAACTGTAAGATCAAATCATCAATATAAATTTGAACGACCAAAAAAGATGAAATCATTACACTTCCATAGGAATATCTCGTTCTTCCCGCAAAAATTAACGGTAACTTAAATTTTATCATTCGAGAAAGGAAGAGTCTTATCATTAGTGAAGTGGCTTTCCCATATATCTGTCAACGACCTTTCTCTTTTTTTTATTGTTAAATACTCTAATCTCCTAGTTTTAACGATCATTCCACTTAAATCGTGTTTCTAAATAGGGAGTGATGGAAGGCGAAAGTATGAAGTGTACAATTAGCGAATGAGAGATATTTATGTCATTTTAAAAGTAATACTTATTGCTAGTCACACGTATCGTGGACGGGGGTGGATGACGAGTAAAGAATGCGTGTGACGTTTTATAAGTGTTGAACAAGAGACGGATATTGATTGGTAAAGAGTACTAAGAATGGTAAATTCGTTCTTAAGGAGTTACATCGGTGCGACGAACCTGCTTAATGTTTCTAAAATCTCTGAATTTAACAGAAAAATTAAATTAATATTCGAACATCGCACCGGAATTGCTCCTTAACAGTGCAGTTGCGCACGTAAGTTGGTTCCTGCGGTAAAGTTAGCTTGAGAGTGCCATGATAATTATGAAAACAAATACCACATCTGATGGCCGAGTATTTTCATTTAAAGATAAGGTGTTCGCATCGTGGCACTTGTAACAAAACTGTGACGGTGGAGTGAATGCATAGAATGTATGGCGAGCAGGTGTAATTTATAAAGGAATCCACTACCCGTTTATTATTCTGATTTTAGAACTTTTCGCATTCACGTTAATCGACTGAGGGATTATTAATATTTTTTAATAATTATTCATAATTATTATTAATAATAACACTGCTGCTGTTTTTTCTTTTTTTTTTTTTTGTTAAAATGAATCAGAAAATGTATTTGTATGTATGTACATATATATATAGAAAGAAGGTCATTCCACTATGTGCACGCTGAGCTTTGTGCGTACTATACTTCTCATTTTCGAAGTAACTATTGTTAAAGCATGTCACGTTTGAAAGTAGAAATTGTTACGCTTCTTATAAATTTTTTAAAGTCGCACGGCTGATTCTCTGAGGAAATTTGAACAATTTCCAAATGGGATAGAGGATGCATCGAACATTGTTTCACTAGTCCAAGATATTTTATTGTAGTTTGCAAAACACTATAATCAATTTGTTGTAACCGTACTATTGGTGATGAAGCTTTCAAAAAGAAAGATCATTCTAAAGCTCAATCGAGTTTATTTTTAATTACACCATTTCATGGATCATAGAAGGTAGATCGAATAGAGAACGAAGAAAACGAAACGAAACATTGTATAATATTATTATTCAAGTCTAATGTAAAAAGTTTATAAATAATTAGTGATAAAATAAATCGTAATATACAGAGATTTGTCAATAAAAAGTAATATTCATACATAAAATATTTGGAATACCTATAGTAATTTAAAGATAACGATTATGTATTTGACTATTATTTACATTAAAATTCTATTATAAAAAAAGGGCGTTCATTTTAAGCTACCCGACTTCTTAATAATATAAAATAAAATAATTTAATAATAATTCGTAAACAACTGCCAAAATGTTAGAGAAAAGGAGGATTAGATAAATGGAAAGATAGAAGGATCTTCATATTCTAAATCGGACATTTCTAAATTAATTAACTTGAAGTACGTAATTAGAGCGTGTCCTGCTTTTTGATGAGTATCTGCTCACCTACTTTGCGAAGTAATTAAATTTCATTAATCACTTAACCGGAGGAAAATTAGTATAGAAAATTGTACGCGGAAGTTAATAAAAATTTAGTTTTTACAAAGCAACAGTGAAAGTTTGCATAATATCAGGAAACAAGTAATTAATGAACTCAGTAAAACACTGGATACCTAGTAGATTTAGCATGGTTATACGAAAATGGACCCAATTGTAACTTTGCGGTTTTTCTCACGCTTGTTCGAGAATCGAGGCGCATCGCGTACACACGAGATCAAGAGTCGCGAATCCCGTTATTCCGGACAGTAAACGGAAGGTTAAAAAACGTAAGTTTGATGGTCCATAGCTTCGTAATAAATAATAATAAACAGACGACACGTATGACGTTCGAAGCGGAAAAGCCTCCTCTTTAAAATACCGTTTGATTCATCTCGACCCAACTCTTAGTTCCGGAGATATAGTCGTCTAACGGCAAACTCTATTTTTTCCTGCAATGCTATTGTCCTTCTCGCGCATTAGCCGACTCACTGGTCTAGACAGACAACCAGCTGATCCGCGTAACTAGGTTACTGTGTCAGTAAGATCAAACGCTGTGCCTAAACTTTGGAAACTATATCTCTGGAACAAATCGAGATATTGGGATGAACCAAAAACGATTTTTTATCGTCTTGACTTCTTCTATCGACTGGAAAGGTTTTTAATAAAAAATTCAATATTCTTATATCGATAAATTTACGTTTTCAACGTGTACGACTTCTGACAATCTATGGTTGTCGGAAGAATGATGACGATAATAAGGAAATCCATGTTCACGCACGGTATTTATTTTAACATTCAACTGACAACAATATATATGTACAGTTTTACGTATACGTAATATCAGTGTATATATACTCATTATATTTATATATAATAACATTAGCTACCGTCCGTTTTTATATGTCTTAATTATTATTGCGCAAGCTACATCGATATTGGTTACCTGATACGTATCGTTCGATAAAACTTCAATTAACGTGAATCATCCTCGAAAGCTAAACTTTACAGTCTACGCTCGTGTCTCTTCAAATAATGCACAACCCTCTTTAAATGCATCTTAAGTATGGATGGACACGACACCCTACTACATTCCTCGAACTCATTGAGTACAGTGATGAACGAAACTGACAGAGTTCAAACTAAAAACATTAGTACCATGCCTCCGGCCGTTGAGTAAACACGCAGTGGTTTCTAATTTGTGATTCATTGACAGTTCTCGTTCGTTCGACTGATATCGACATGAAACAACATTCTCTTCTTAATCATCGAGATCGGTAAGTGAATTTTAAATTACACGATTCAGCGTACGCGTGTATAAAGTGTGCAGAAGTACAATACTAAGATACATTAATCAACCCTTTAACCTATTAACTAACCCTTCCTTATTGTCTCATTTGGATAAACGTTGTTCAGAACGAAATTGTTCTTTGAAACTTATTTAAATCGATTCATCTCTGTTTCTGTACTCGCCTAAAAGTTTTGAAACGAAACGATGCACACTGTATACACGAACGTAGCTTAATGAGGGTTCAAGACACCGAGTAATGACATGGAGAAATAAGATATTATGGATTGACTCATCGTCCTCATCGAATGCATTATTGTCTGACGTTTGTACGTTTCGTAGTTCGAAAAAATCCATACGAAACACATGACGATATAGTGAAAGAAAATTTGTACTATTCTTTGGAAGGGAATATTCATCATGTTTTCCAGGCGGCAGCTCCTTGTCCCGCAAGTTATTGTCAATTTACAGTTTAAAAGACACTTTAACAATTATTTACATTTTGCTGAACTCTACTCCATACGAGTATAGTAATATAATATACGTACAAGTAAATCGCTATAACCGGTTCGGGAGCAACATAATTAATTTGTCAGAGGCCGTTAGTCGATCGAATATTCGATAACAGGATCTTAACAAGTATTAACGATTTCGTTTACGCCTATACGTACACGTGTATCTCGTATTAAATCACTCTTACATTATTGTAGTTTAGCACCTTCTTGAAAATAAATAAGGAAAATGATTTATGTCACCGCGTTATTCTCAACCGAGGATTATTGTTTAACTATCAATCCAGAAGACAGGCTAATTTTACTTCACTATTGATGATGGTGGTAAGTCTATCTTCAACTTTATGTGCGAGTTCCGCGATGAATCTCTTTCGTTCATTTTAGATATGTTTTGACTCGAATTAAAATGTACACACAGTAAGTTTATGACTGAAACGTTAGATACAAAATATAGAGAGATCCGAAGTACAAACAGACGCGATTAGAGTGCATCTCGCTACTGCCCTACCCTCTGCTATGTAGACGATAGACGTCGTTTCCCGTTCTTCAAACGTATTCAGAATTCTTGTTTTCGCATTCTCAACGTCGTTTTCTTCCACGAAGGAGACTGATTTCATTGTGTAAAATGTTCTAAGAAATGTCCTATCTTACTTTATGTGAACGTAATATTTGAGAAACGCAAGACGAGCTACTTTTCAGCTGCTTGCGCGGCCTTTCAGGATGCAATTAACGCAAGTGCAACTCGCTTTAACGCTGGACCAACGACGAGTCCATTAAATATATTGCATTTAATCCCCGGGGCTTAGCTAAATCCAATATCTAATATAACGGGAAGAGTGAGAAACGACAGAACGGTCTATACATTGTGCAGAAAATAAAACGAATGAAATCCTCTGTTCCTTACCGATTGCTAGCTCTTACGTAGGTTTCATAGGCCTCATAAAATGTGCGAGAAGTACAGTGCAACTTCACCTTATTGTCGAATTCATCACCGATTTGTCGAATTTTTATTATTGTCGTGCGATTCCTCGTGAATCGAATCTTTAGTAATTCTTTATTGTCCCTATCGTTAGATTAGTTCGCCAGGACGACGAAGACGCGCTAAAATTGCAATCAATTTTCGCATTCAATGTCGCTTCGATGGTCACATTAAACGTATAGCTATCGAGCCTTGCTGATCAATTCTCACTTGCCCATCGAATCCCTCCCCTCGCCTTTTTGATATGCTTGAAAACAAATTACTTTCACGTTGCATTCGCCACGTGAGATATGTATAGGAAAGTATACCTAATTGATATTAATAAGGCGACTACAATAGAACGATAATTATTCGAACGCGTCACACTCGAAAGATTCTTCACAGCATTGATATTTTTTATCATACGTTCGTCAAAAGTTTCACGATTTTTTAAACAGAATTCGATCGCGGATAAGTGATAATTGTAAGAGCATAACGGAGAATCGATCAGCGAAGTAGCGCCGCACGTACGTCGTTCTGAAACGGAAATTAATAAAACAATTTGGGGCAACGCCCTTTTCCCTTTACGCGCATTGGACGGCTCCTACTCTAATCTTAGGTCTCACGTTATTTGCAATTTGCTAAGCAGTAAAAGTTGTCTCGAGTCTAATCGTAATATTACCCTAATCATTATCATCTGCAATCGCGGGATTTTCGCCTGCCTCAACGTACATTGCAAATGCTATGATGACGCGTTTACATGCTAATTGTTCGGGTACATGATTCATCCCGAAAACGTGTACAAAGACAACAAATTACTCTCCTTTTTCAAAAGTATTTTCTTGTAAATTTATAATAAAACAAAGCATCAGAAGAATTATGTATTCAGCGAATCGTGGATGTATCATGTATCCTTTCAAGCAAGGAGACCGTAAGTTCAGCTTGAATGCGGAACTTGCAGTTTCTGCTGTACTTATTCGTTTTTGTATTCACTTTCCGAAATTTAATCTGGGATTACTTACTTATTGGAAACGGCGAACTTCCATTTTATGTTTCCGATTATTATTATTGACGTGCGTACCCGTTGCCAAATGATTCAGAGACTCGAGAAACAGCAGAGAGACACGGTTTCAAATGAAAAATAAAACGCCAATCGTCACGTTAGATTTGTACTTTCGAATTTCCCCGTTCTTTAGATCCTATCTCTTCTCAAAAAATGAATTCATCGCACGAGGAATGCAGACCGAATTATTATACGTATAAACGTCACGTCGAGTATGTAATTGACACGATATGTCCTCTTTTAATGCGCACGCTAAACTGGAGTAAAGTAATGTCAAGTCTGAAGTCGGGACGAGGAATGACGATGACACGAGTAACACCTAGTCGGGTTCAAATTAATCGCTAACGATCGAAACATTGATATTAAGTAAAAAAGTGCTGTTTCTCGGTCTATGAACCGCTTAAACACGTGTTAATCCAGGATGCGCGAGGATAACCATTCCTAGGTGAGATCCTCGTCGTCGTCGCTGGGACCTCCGGTCGGGCAACACAGCCCCTCCGACCCGTCGCTTCTTATACAGAATAACAGCGTCTCGGCCGGCGTTACTTCATGTGGGACGATACCATGAAATTCTTTAAGATCGGCCGCGGGGAACCAAGCTTTCTCGTTATCCTCGATTATCAGTATCCCGAAAAGTCTATATAACAAGTTAAAAAAAAACAAAGTGTAAAAGAATTCTAGATGTATTATAAAATACATCAAATTATTGAAAAATGAAGGAAGTAACAGTTACCTGCAAATAGCAACTGTGGGAATCCAAAGAACGGAGGCGAGTATAAGAATGCCGATTAGTACTACAGCCCAGAGTGGCCACTCGTGCTTCTCCGTCTCTCCTCTGCTGGCAACCCAGGCTGGATATCCACTTCCGTCGACTATGATCTCTACGATCGAGGCAATTAGAATACTCAGCATAGCCATCGGGCTGAGGTATTTCCAACAGATTAACCAGTAAAGGCCTGGACGATTGCCAGTCATCAGCTCGATATCGTCCGCGAATCTATAAATCAGATAATGGACACTTTATTCCATCCGTCTATTTTCTACGACTCGTACAAGGCAATTTTTATTATGGAAGAGAAAACTACTCAGTTTATGATGTCTCGTACATAAAAGTTAATGTACAGTATTAAATGTATTAGTACACACCTCTTTAAACCGTACACGTACGACACTGCGATACATTCGAAGAAGGCAATAATCAGCAGTGGAAAATTCCCGCTGAAATTGTCGAACAGCACAAAAACGTAGCTGCCTGCACCGTGAGCAAAGGCCATCGAAATAACGCAACAAACCAAGCAAATGCCACCTATTTAAAAAATGATTATAAGTTATTCTCATAATTATTCAATAAATCTTTATAAAAAAAATTATTACTGACCTGTCAGTATTTCTTTACGCAAATTCGGGAATAATTTCATGTCTACAATGCTCGTAACCACGCCCTCGAGGGTACCGAACTGTGAGTCGATTCCCAGAGTGAATAACATGAGGAAGAATAACACCGACCAGAATTGTGCACCCGGAAATTGATTGATCGCTTCCGTGAAGATGATGAACGCCAAACCGGTACCTGACGCTGACTGAAAGTACCAAAAGCGATTTTGCAAGGCAAACAGAAAAATGTTAATTTACGGCTGAGCTTAAAAGATCTTACGTTGTCTAACTCCTTTTCGAGATCACATTCAGGTAGCTCAGGCATGATTATATTATCTATCGTTCCATTCGATGTGGAGATATTTAGAACAGTTCCACTTACTGGTATCTCATCGGGTATTCTATCCGTTTGGCCATAAATATTCAGAAGAGTGCTGTTTCTCTCCTCTAAGCACTTCTCGTAAACCATCGTTGCCTTGAAACCTACATTCATATAAATAATTTCTAATTATACGTGACGAGTTTATAAGACAATCAGTATAACGAGAATTGAAATTACCGATGATGGAGAACACGACAATCCCGGCGAACATCGAAGTGAAACAATTCGTCAAGCTGACCATGATAGCGTCTCGATAACAATTGTTATTCACGGGATTGTAAGAAGAGAACGCTATCAGACCGCCGAATGCCAGGCCAAGGGAGAAGAATATCTGCGTGCCCGCTTCTAGCCAGACCACTGGATCGGCTATTTTCCACCACTGAGAAATTCGTTTAATTACAATGTAATACGGTTAGTGTATTTACATCGAAATTACATGAATTATACCTTGGGAGTGAAGAGGTGACGAAGTCCGTCGCCCATCCCCGTCAATGTGACGCCGCGGAAGAAGAAGATAATCAGAACGATGTACGGGAACGTGGCCGTCACGTACACGACCTATAAAAAACATAATAATTTATAAAATTGTCCGGGCGAAACAGACCGGCAGGCAATAGAAATTCGTGCGATCAATCATTGAACTGTTTAAAAGAATACCTTCCCTGAAGACGCGATTCCTTTGATCATGCACATGTAGACGAGAATCCAAGCGATGACCAACGATACAGCGATCTTCCAGTTGAACAATTCTGGGGTGTTTATGTCTTCGGAGATCATCAGCGTCGTACGGTACCAGAAGTACTGCGTCGGACTACTGACCTGATAATCAACGAAATGCGTGTAGATTAAAATATTAGAGCGATAGTTAACCTGCGGATTTTATGCATTTATGAGCTATACATCGGAAGCTTAACGAATGTCTAAATGATAGAAAAAATGTTTATTTAAAACACGTTTCGCATAAAAATTCGCAGTCCAGTAATAGTAACATAGCGAAACACTGATTAGATTAATCATACCGTACACTCTGGTTCAGGCGCGTACGACCCGTTTTGGAAATATACATTGGGACACTCAGCCCACGGTAGGTTCGATTGGAAACTCTGAAAAGGGGATGATTAACAATCGCGTTAATTAAAATTGTGATGATTGGGTACTCACTTGAACGAAGTAGAAGAGGCACCAAGCGATAATAGTATTGTAATACAGAGCTACGTTGAAAGATACTACAGCGCTGCTTAAACCGATACCACCCATGTACGGGGACACCTTCCAAGAGAAAAATTATGTTACATGCTTAAGTGCTCTCTCGAGTTTATCTCGACAGATCTGAATTGTATCATCGTGCAACAATCACCTGATTCCACACACCGATAGCTCCCTTTCGTAATCTCTGGCCAATCGCCAACTCCAGATAAAATATGGGGATACCCTCGATGGCCAACATTACAAAGTAAGGGATTAAAAATGCACCTGTTCCGGGAAATGTAAACAAACGATTAATTTGTCAATGCACTCGATTGATTCTTGTTTTGTGATTATGTACCTCCGCCGTTCTTTTGAGCGAGGTATGGAAATCTCCACACGTTCCCAAGCCCAACCGCGTATCCGACTGTCGCTAATAGAAAAGTAAGCTTACTATCCCAGTTCTCTCTCTCATCCTCCCCCGCTTCCGGCCGGAAAATTGCTTTCCCTTCATTACTGCCGAGTACTTTACTGACCCCGCCCCCATTATTCGCTTTATTCTGAAATGATCAAAAGTAGTCATTATCGAAATAAACTGAGTATATCTTCAAAAGCGTAAACTGGTTTTATTTGAAACGAAATCCACGCGTTCGCCATAGAGATCTATTTGGTGTATTGGTTCTAAAGTAATGAGATCCTGGATAATCACTTTCGTATTAGGACTGGAGTCCTCAAAGGCTGCGTTCGTGGCCCCGTAATTGGCAGTGGTGTTAGTCTTTCTATTGTCCACCACTAATCTTCCTCTCATCTCCTTCATCTCGAGTTTGTCGACACTCTTCTGGGGCTTCAGGTCGCGCGAGCTTTGCCGGCGGACAAGGTGGGCCGTGTTCGCCATTGTTTCTGTCTATCCTGTGCGACCACGGTTCTGTTTCGTCGAAAAGATCAAACAGAAATACTACGCACGCCTATGGACTCCATCCTGTTGAAAATAAAATATCTACCTTCGGACAATATTCAATATTTAATGTAACATTAAAAAGCAGCGAGCAATTCCCGTTTGTTAATAGATTATATATATATAATAAGTAAATAAAGGAAAAAGAGAAGATTATTAAAGTACAAGCGTCGGAGCTTCGATGAATAATTAAATATGAAATTCACGTTGAACACGCAATTGTGTTAAGCTGTTCGATGCAGGGGCCGGATTTAATTACTGATTGTTAATTTTGGAGTATGCGAATTATTAAACGTCGAATGTGTTTAATCGTTTAATAAGTAAATGGTTGCCAAGTAATATTATATTCAGATCGGTGCACTATGCGCGTAATAATACATGATCCTGTTTTCAAATTAAATATTAATACTCCAACGATCCCGTTCTTGATTTTAGCAATTACGAGTGGGCTTCAGGCAAGTTTTCGAACTGGGTTTCATTCGAAGTCCTTTTGATGTTTTTATTGTATCGGTGAACGCGAGCAAAGGTTACACAGCTACAAAGTCGCATTTGTAAGGACACGCTCCACGAACCCAACACATTACACTCGCTACTCCTACACATCTCACGTGCACATCGATCGAAGCTTCCTTCGCAAAAGCATTTTGCATTACAATAAAACGTCACACAATCTGCAATTAGACGATGAAACAATAAAACAAATTGCAATTGAGTTTACGGAAGCAAGAAAATTAATTTTTAAAATCGCTCTGATTCGCAGACAAGCAAAATACAAAATTATTTAAATGAAAAAGAAGAAAACTGCGGTTTGTTATGCAACCACAAAAGTTATCTGCACGAGTAAAACATTATTTCTGTGGCTAGCTGGACAAATTCAATCTGTGTGCTTTTTTAATTTCACGATTTTTTTAAATGTATCTGCTGAATATGGTTTGGATGCAGGAGAAGTAAATTTTAACATCTTATCGCTAACGTTCAGTGAACTTATGGGAATCTACTGTCACAATTATGTAACATCCAACCTTGCCCGTAAATTCGATAGGAATGATGGGATCAGGGTAAACAATAGACGAGGGAACAACATGCGAACACGTTTTGTCTTTCCAAGAGGAGCGTACTTGACAGAAATGTCTTTAAAATGCTATTCAAAGAAGCTGGCACGCGTCGCTTTTTACATCGATAGGACAGCCAGCAGGGATAAAGATTTGTTTGCCTTAAAGCTTTGCTATGGCCCTGACCCCGAATACAAGAGACCTCGTCACTAAATTACGGATTATCAAGTATTTTACAACTACGCTTCACATAAAACTCAGTTTTTATTAAAAAAAAGTTATATCTATCCTACAGACTCACCGAACACGGCTACAGTTCTCTAAACTCTTGGTACTGATTTTCTGGATAAGAATATACTTTAGAAAACAGGACACGCTGAAGAAAATATTCATGCATTTTCAGTAACGAGATAAGTTCTGTCTCTTCTGTAAGAAATATTCGTGAACATATTGGGCGGCAATTTTACACGAGCGACGTGCACTATAACTACCGTTCCCATTGACGTCACAGCAGGACCAATCAAGTGTCATTTATCATCCTACACAACTTTTCCGGATTAAGAACGATTCCGAGAAACACTGTTCAATTATTCCAATTTCATTCATTGATATCGAAGCTAATCGAAATTTAACGTTTCATTGAACGATCCAGGATGAGCGATTTAAACGAGGACCAGACCGGTCCCATTGATCCGCGAAAGGGTTTCGCGATACGACGAGACGTGCGTGGATTTGGAATTGTTAAGGGATCATTACGGAAAGGGTAACGATGTTTAGTCACGAAATAACGTTACAAGTTCGTCACTGACCTGTTGGGGTGAGATAAAGAAAAGCGCGAGGGCCTCCTTATAGTTCGAGGAGCAGTTAGCTACTGTGGCACCCTCTACTAGGAGGGTAACTTTTGAAGTCGCGATATCCGACAGAATCAATAGCAAGCGCCGGCGCCCCAATGCCTCCGTGTCCTACAGACCGGAATATGCGTGAACCCCTTTCATCGAAAAGACTGGTCGATGATCGCAAACGACGAACCGATCAACGCGAACTACCCGGTCAACTCGCGAGTTTCATTAATCATTCTGATAGGGGGTGTGAACAGGATTACTTGAGCCGAATGCTAATGGGACAAGTCAAGTTTAAGTATTATAGTCAATATATTAGAACTCGAATACTTGAAGAAAGCAAGCCGAGTTATACCTCGAAGAAATTGGTTCTTTCGAAAAATCCAAGCAGTTCCAACTATTCCTTCTTATCTTCTTGAAATGTGTAGGGGTAAGAGTCATAATGGTGTAAATTACGTTTTGGAACGGAAAGATTCCGGAAATGCTACTACCATTTCCGGAATCGTTACCATTATGGTACAGCATTTCTGTTAATACGTCTACATTATACTATTATTAGTTTGCAAGGCAGATGAGTTAGGACTTAATCCACCTCTTCTTTGAACGTATTAGTACTTGTACTTGAAAACCGTAATGCAAGTCGCAACTTGGCCAAAAATAATTTAGTCCATTATGGTTTCTACCCCCTCATATATTTGAACTACTCGGTTTGCATCAAGCAGCTGGATTTTTGTCGAACTACTCGGTTTTGTCGAGCTACCCAATTTTTTTCAAGCTTGACTTTTATATATTTTACGTAAATGTTCCATTTCAATAAATACTTCCTTTGGTTATTAATCGTTCCTGCTATGGGTACGAATAAGGTGAATCTCAGAGTTATGAAATCACCATTAATATTGTTTCGAGTTAACGCTTATTACGATTGAACGACGGTGCTTCCACTTGAATGAGCAATTAGGTTCTATGTTTGTTAGTAGTAGGGATCAAATGTATTATTAGAATATATATTTGTCTGAAATCGAACGAATCTATAGTTCGATACGCTTCCGTAGCAGTATCCTCATTATGAAAAGGAAGTGGAATACAATAGTTATTGAAGTTTTAATTGAAATTTCCGGTTATTAATAGAGAATCAAAGATCGTTAATTAATAGCAGAAATTCTTATAGGATACTACGCTCGTATTGGCGTCACTCGGAGACGAAAGAGGCTTATTCACTGTTTCAGTAGATAAACCTGTCTTTAGTCAGACAAGCACATTATACCGCTTGCGAGCGTCGGCTTACATAATGACTTAAACTACTTGACTACCTGTTTCATCGTCGAGAATTGTATAATCGTAGCTCTTTGTGGATTCTATCGTTCGCGAGAGCAGAGAGAGGATAAAAATAGTAGAACAAGAAATAACATAAAATATTTTTATTTGTTTTAATTACATAACTTATAAAGATTCGACGAGGGAAATTTCTTAATGCACAGTTTCTTTTTTTAAGAATTGTGTGAAGGCGAGTATACCTGAAATGCAAATTGACGATAAAATTGGTAATCAATTGAAATGCTAATTAAGTACTTACGATCGATCCGGTCTCTTTTAAACCGATCCTCGACGAACGACTTGATTAAATTTTCTATCGTTTCCGCGTCTTTGTAATTAAACTTCTTTATGTTCTCGTTGATCGCGAGGTATCTAAAGACTTTGTAAGGTTGAAAACGTCATAATAGATAAAGAACAGAGAAAAGAGCAATGTTCATTAAGTCACGCGGTACCAATCAAAGGATACAGTCCATGGTAGTGAGTGAAGGCGTCGATTGCCCATTCTAAAAGCAAGTTTAATCGCGGTCTTTCAGGCGTGCCATTGATTAATTCCCTCACTGTTTCGTCGTCTAATGAGACATTGCTCCGAGCGTCCTCCAAGTTTATTAAACGATTTCTTAAATCCTAAAGTGGTATTTATTTAAAAATTGTTATCGTGCTATCGAATAATTATGCTAAAAATAGAAAAACCTATTTTTCGTGAAGGATTAGAAGGGATCAGGATTAATTTTATTTACTTGATTTATATTATTGAAAAGCGTTAAAATGTTTAGAAGTAGACCGAGTTCGCTGTCGATCCCCATAAGAATTTTAAAAATCAATCTCTCGTACACTTCGTCGATTTTACAGAGCTCTGCATCAGTGACCCCCTCGCTGCAACAGAATGACATCTGACGGTAGGTCAAGCGAAATTCCGTCCTCGGTGACTCGGATTTATGCATCTAGTTTCTCCTCTTAATGTTCGACGTGCAGAGAGTTCGTGAAAAAAAGTAGAAAGTTGATGTTACCTTATGACGAGGCGGAGTTGTTCCGATTGATTCTTCAAAGCTTGTAGAGGTCGATCAGCTTCCTTGGCCAGTTCCTTCCATTTGCAATCTACTTTCTCTAATTGCGAGAAGTAATTAATCAAACATTTATGCAGCTCTTTTGCCATCGTGCTTGTAGGTTAACTCTTGAACCACACGTATAAATCGTGTTCTGTTTGTACAAAGCAGAGTGCGCTGGTTTGCTTAAATACAAAGTAAAATAAGATTTCAAAGAGAAATCATTGATTTAAGTTATTGTCAGACAAATAATCTCAGTATGACAAAAACGGCTCTCTTTTAATAATTAAAAAATGAAACACGAAGAGTATTCATACTGTTTCTTTCATCACGTTATTCCAATATCTTTAGAAACTTTATTTTCGAGAGCAGTTTCACAGGTATAAAGTACACAATATGAATTACAAAGATGAAAGGGTAATATGGAGTGCTTCTGTAGACTTTATAGTAATATCGGAGCGAGTACATTGGCAGTATTGACTTTTTCTACGGACAAGAACTGGTGCTTTGCAACATAGAATGATCGTTGACTATTGACTTTTACTATTTATGTGAAGAATACTTCACATCAATTACCTGCGTTATTGATAATAACGAGTTGGGACTTCATTTAAGAAGCTTTCAGTTCTCCAATTCTCAGGAGAGGCAAAATTTGCATCGAAACAGAAGTGCAAAATAGCTGTGAAATTTAACGTCCGGTCAAGAGAACTTATACGACTTTTAAACGAAAAGAACTAAAGACGTTTTCCATTATTTTTATATACAAGGCTTTTCATCTTCTTCCTTGACTAGTTACTGTTTAAGTATTAATATCCTTTCTATAGAACGAGAAGCTTACAGCCACGTAATCGAACAAATGTTTTTTTCGGTCAAGGAGAACAGCAACAAAGTTAAAGATGTTTGTTCTATCATAGATTCTTTTGCATTATGTTCAGTTAATATTGATCTCCGTGAACACGCGAGTCCATAAGACGTAACAGATATTTATAAATATGTTTACTGGTGAAAATGAGAAGATGACGGGATGAAGACGTTGCGTGAAATGATTCCACGCATTTCTGGTTACTGTAAAAGCTGTGAAACGCGTTCGCGGGATCGATTCAAAACGAGACACCTCGTATAATCGGGCCTAGCTCCGCTTCCTCGTGCCACTTCGCTCTTACGGGTATGATACGTCGGAAACGGCCGAAGGAACTTTCGACTAGACGGCACGGTGCGCACGCAGTCGACGGACGGTATCCCCGGCGGTCTCGGTGGGGTCCGGTAACTGTTGAGTCGGGAGAACGTTTGGCCGTTTCGTGAGCCGACTGCAAGCACAGTAGATCATCGACCGACAACCCTTTCGTGCGCAATCATGTCTCGCTGCGATTGATCCGGTAGCTCCCCCATTTTTTTTTTGTTCCTCGTCGTTTTTTTTCAACTCCCGGCTCGTACGTAATTAGAAACAGTAGTAAGTACACAGTGCCAGGGAGAGATCGAATCGCCGTAACGTTTCGCAGCTGCCGATACGTATCGACGTTTCGCGGCCAGCAGTGTGTGTGACACATACGACACGCGATTGTCGCCCCGTTTCAACCCTCGGCCGTACGTCTCTTTATTTTCGACCTCTTCGTCCTTCTCACGCGCTCCGTTCGTTCACGCTGCGAGGAAATATGGATGAGACCAACGGGAAGATGCAGAACAAGCACGAGGACGTGGACGCTGCATCCCTCGGCGCTGACATCCTGAACCCCTTCGTGCATCGTCTCGAGCTCGACACAACCTACGACAAGCTCAAGGTCAGTAGCTCCAGGAATGCAACCGGAAGAAATGATTTTTCTGAGATCGATGTTCACGCGGTCCACCCAAATACGGTCTACGGGCGGGGCGGGGAGTTTTGATCGCTGCAACAACTTTCCGCTGGTTCTCGACGACCCGTGCCACATGCGCATACACAGACCCTCTTCCGGGTCTATCTATACGGATGAACTTGATCGCATTGTCTGATCGTAAAAATAGAACGAATTTTTGCCGGTGAACTTTCTTTGTGCAGCACATATTCGTGACCGTCCGACCTCATGCGGCTTTCTTTTATTCGGGCCACGAGCGGGGGTTGCTATCATCGTGGACAGTTACGTAAAGTTCGGACCGCTCGCTGCTGCGACGCAAAGATTAGTTTTCGATCTGGAAACCGCCGATGAAAATCCATTGACACTCTCTATTGTGCTGTGAACATAAGAAACTAACACAGTCTACGTAAAAGGTTTCGACATTCGTAATTCAATTTATTATTATCATCACTTCCTGTCTACGTCGAAGACCTGCATATACCACGAAATTCGAATTTACGAAATTGTTTGAACAATTACGTAGCGCCGATACGTAGCGCAGTAAATGTTTTGGTTTTCTCACGGTTCAAACCATCTGGATCAATACATTTTTTGATGAAAACTGTCGCTGTAAAATTGAAAATTCTACAGAAACAAAATTCTGCAGTCAGTGGGGAGATTATAAAAAACATTTGATCATCGGCTGTAGTCGAGGAGTCTTATAAGTTAATATTGTCATAACATATTTTAGGGACGCTGGTAATACAGTCCGCGAATATGGAACATCCGGTGAATACGTAATTGCGCGTCGTATTCCGATTAAATTCCGCATTCTTAATTAGCCGCATGTGGTACATTTCCATCAATTTACTCTAATTTCACTGTATTAAACAAAATTGAAAAACATTTTCCCGGAAATAATAATTCTGAACTTAAGAATTTCAAGTATTTCTGTAATCAAATTTTATGGAGCGTAAAATAATTTTATTCGACGGACAGTCCACGCGATCATTCGGGCTTGGCGCAATGATAGAACCATTTCTTTTTTTTCACCGAGCTAATTAATATACGTTTTCTATGTAGCAACGGCGGTGCGTGCAGCCGCACAACTTAAAACGCATCACGAAATGCATCCTCTGAATAGGAGAGTCTCGAAAGCGTGCCTGCGTACCGTTTGATGCGCGCATCGCTGCTCCCTCGTCATTGTCGAATCGCACGTATACTGCGCGTTTGTCAGGGATGAAGCGGCTCGGAAAAGATCGCGTCAACTTTTTATCCTAGTTCGTTTCAATCCTGTTTCCTCTCCGCTTTTCAAACCGTATTCAACATTAGGATTCCACAGGGCATTTCAAGATCGTTCCGTGACACTGGAAAGCGCGTTTCGGATTTGCTTCTTATGTAACTTAAAATCGAAGGGGCAACGTTTTTACGTATCAAGTATTAACTAAAATCATTGACCATTCATATATTTTCCTTTAGATGTTTGTCTAACGTGTGTCATATATTTAAAACGAAGAGTATAGAAGCTAAAAATTTTTTGCTCGTTCGTATTCAGGTACCGTTTTGATGCACGTGTTAAGTAAAATTGCAACACGCATATGACTCAATCATAAATCGCATGCCGCACTTCTTGCGGTGAACGCATTTGTTGCTCGAGTGTAATAATAAAAAGAGGTTCGACTGATGACCAGACCAACTGTACGCGCGTTACCGGAGATAGAATTTCCTTCCACGCTCGGAAACTGTACAGATTGCACAATAATAATCGTAAAAATGAATATTCAGAGGAGAATCTAAACGCATTATCGTATTTTATGTAATGTTCTAGCTATAAGAAAAACTTCCTATTATTACGTTCCTAGTACAATGTATTAGCTCACGTTTCATAATATCATTGAATCTATACGTATATGTATGTATGTATATATGATGAACGTGGATCGGAGTACATGATTTTTATGTAATGCTATTAAATGGATCATGTTCTGTTATCACTTCTAATGAATTTGCTCAACTTCACTTTCGAGTTTCGTCTAAGGAGTATTAATTCAACTTAGAGTATTTCTTGGCATCGTTAAACGACAGATCATGCGTACCTGCGAGCCAGACTTTCTCCGTTTGAACTGAACATACCGGATCTGGTGCAACTCGAGGTAACGAGTCATAAAGAAATTGCAAAATACAAATTTCAATTTTTATATAAACACGTGACCAGTCATTGATCTTTCTGTGATCACTGCAGTGGTATTATATAACGTATTTTAAAGAACAATTATGGAACTTGAAAGTACGAAAAGATGATGTTGCAATGGAAATTTAAAGTGCTTTACATCGTTAAAAATGAACAAGTTCGTAATACCGAGTAATATTAGCGTTCATTCATTGGAGAATTTAGACTATACGTTTGTAATATATTTATTGTCAATGATTTTTATTCGAAGATTATTCAGTGAATTTCTTGAAGTAACGAACTGCTGAGACGACGCGTACTTATCTAACGCCTATTGAATTTCGAAGCCTTCTAAACCATCCCTTTGTGTGGCACGGAAATCTGTTTAACTATTACGAGAAGATCTGACGGTGACACGTTAAATCGCGTTCATCGTGTACTTACAGTCACTTCATTTAAAAAATAAATCTGCACGCATAAAGAGGATATTTCAACGTAATTACTTTTACCTCACACCTCGTTCAATTTCCCTCGCGAGGGACACTTTTCTGTTTAAGAAAAAAAAAAGGAAAGTCGACTTTTGTACGAATGAAAGGACCGGGCGTATAAAAGTCGTATTATCGCGTAAACGCATTGACAAATTTTCGTACAAAAAACCGAGCAGTGCCGCGACCTAAAGAAAATGAGCGATGTGGAACGACTAGAAAAACAATCCTCGTCAATTTTCACTGGGAGAAGAGCAAGTCTTTCGCCGACACGCAATGTGGGTCATAAGTACATACGTAGAAAACGTACTCCGCGGAGAACGTATTCTTTACATGGAAAAAAGAAAAAAGAATGGGCTTCGATTTTTTTCCCTCTGTCTCATGAAAATTATGTGAAAGGATGCTCTGATACAAAAATTCTACGTCTCATTTTACGTGTTAATTCACCGTGATGTAAAGAAATATAGAAAAAAAAAATTTCGTATGCACGTAGCTTGGTAGCCGAGATATAAAAAGCTCGTTGTCAATACACGTACACTTCGAAATTCTCGCGTTTAAATCACGTGTCTCGCCCTCCTTCACCCTTGTGCTGAAGAGCCTTGACACAATTTTTGTCCGTCAGCCCAAATACCTACATAGGTCGCTGCCGAGTTCATTAATGCACATAATATTGTACACGCGACAAATTAAATTCGTGACTCGTTCACGGATCTACCGTCTCTTTAACACGCGAGCACTGATGCTCAATGAAACGGCCTTCTAAATCTTGTAGAAGGCGACATTGAAAAGTTCATTGAAAGTACGCGAACGAAAGCTTACGTACGCACTCGCTCTCCTCGAATACTAATAGTTGTTTTAATAAACGCAGCGATCAGTCTGCATATCACTCGGTTCAAACCGAATTCTCATCCTTCAACGAGTGTTCGTTTAAACTTTAAATCGTTTAAAATGACGCGCCCTTCATTTAGTACCTCATTTAAAAATATCTTTAAGTTTTTACCAGTTGAAAGACGAAACCGGTGCACCTGAAAAAATATTTGCCCAAGGTTTCGCATAAGTTGACTTTCCAGAATTCGAATTCCGTTCCGAGATACTGAATAAAAAATGAACAGTATTATCAAGAGTTTGCTGATTAACCGACTGGCTGATAATCTCAATTCTTAACTGGCCGATCGGTGAATTACTTTTAAGAAAATAATATCCAGATTTGTAGTTTGTATATCGAGGTGCACTGCGATCAAAGCAACTACAAGTTTACTTTCTCCAATAACATCGACTTTTACTCTACACTCTCATTGGCTTTATGAGAAGAAAATATTGAATGAGCCACTTGTCGAAAATTATACCTTTGGTTAATAATTTTTAGTCTTAAAAATTCATGATTTTGTTCTCTTGAAAATGTTACAAGTTTTCAAGTAGAAAGGGGGACGAGGAAACTGGCAGGTGCTACATTTATTACTTGAACAATTTTACCATTGCATTTTTAATTTTACACATCCGCGTAAATACCTGAAAGACGTAAAACACATTACTAAATTATGAGACATTCTCAAATAACATTTCTAACATCCTAAGAACAGTATTTCTATTTTCTACAAAAAAATTCGAGGCTTCTTGCGATGAACATTAGATTAGAAATGAATGTGTGGAGCATAGTTTACCAAAATAGTCCGCGCGGGAATAGAACTTTCTTCTAGACTAGAAAAAGAATAAGGTTCATTTCTTATGTTAGTTATTCGTAGTATCGAAAGGATTACTCGGTCGTGGCCTCGATCTTGAACGACAGCTGTGTGCGTGTTATGTAAATACGCGTCCGTGTGGTCAGTGTATGTGTACGAAATAAAGTTAACAGGTGATGGAGTCTAACGGAACGTCCGAACGGTACTCGTTTCTCTTTTTTCCCAGCAAGCGTTCACTTCTACGCTTCTGCATCCCGCTCCTTTCCTCTTCGCCTGACGTCCCGGCTAATCAGCATCCTAAATCCTCTCCCATCCCTGTAACCTTGGCCCATTGAAGAAAAAAGTAGGTGCTGACCGAGAACGAACAGCTCATCCGGTGAAATCGAATTTTTACACCTCTCATCAACTCTTTTTGTCTCCAAACATTTGTTCTCTATAAGTGATTTTTATTCTATTTTTTATCATTCTCTATTTAGAATTGTTCTAGAAAATTTCGTGATTATCTCGAATAGTGTTCATTTAGGTGATCTGATGACTATCTTAAGAATATTTTCGGTCCTAATCAGAAAAAACGAACCCCGACCGTGCAATGTTTATGACCTAAGCCCCCATTAATGAACAGTCATAGATAATTGATTGGTATAATAGTCTCGTTTGATAAACGCGTTATATTAAACATAAGATTCATTTGTGTTATCTGTATTTATAAATAATTCAACAAAAGATAATCGCGTTTAGTATTTAATTACCGGCGCCCGTTGCACGCTCTGCATTTTTTTATACAGATAAGAGTTAATAGTCGTTTCTAACATAGATTGCGCGTACGAGAATGATGATAACAGCTTAGCAAACTGTTGGCCCAAATATTGTGTGGCCTCGCGTATTGTCCGCCGAGCGAGGTGCACATCTTGCTGATCAAGGTTTCGCTGATTCTATCGGCGAAAAACTTCTAGATCCTCCACTCACTTCAAGTCACCAATAACGACAACCAAAAGTGACACGAGCAGGCAGCTTCAGGTAGCCAAGTAAGGAAGTTCCTTCGCTTTGATGTACAATCGAAAAGAAATGTAGACTACAGTTTAGAAAATAACGGGACACGTTTATGTACTTTACTTGAACTGTTTTCATAGAACGTGTATTCTAGTTTCTAAACAGTTATTTTTAGTTACGAGACAACATGTATTTTTTTTACATAATTATTATTTGTCAGGTACTTTGTTATCATAGTCGCAATAATTAAGCTGCAGCCGACGATTACACAATATCACACGGTTACGTTAGCATAATTAGAGATTATTTTAACAAGCTATGGTACGGATATTAAAAATGTAATACAGATATCAGTAGATTTTGATATCCTGCTCGGTCTAGACGTCTAGACATATCTTAAAAATTAAAAGGAATAAAATTATTATCAACTACTGATAAATCGTCTATAATTTATAACACTAAACCTACCAGAGCGGTCAACTGACCACTTACATTGTGCATAGAGATATCGATAGCTAATGGGTGTCGATGACAGCATGGAGAATTCCGAGAATTCGTGACTATTGTTTGAAGCCACGATGTTGGATGTTTATGAAAAAGATTTTGAGGGTCTGGCCACGTAATGGGGAAGGTAACGAGACCTTCTGGTAAAAGGACTGTGAGAAACGGCACTTACCCCAGACTCTTTGGGAAGAACGAATCTATCTGAATATCAGTCCGAATATCTAACATATTATTTAATTATTATATGATAATTATTTTGTGTTTTATTGCCTATGCTAAATTCTGTATTATCTATAATCAACTGGAAAAGAATATAATGTTTATTTAAAAAGCGGTCATTTAATCGCCATCGGTAGAAATAGGTACATATAAAATGTCGGTAGATTTAGTGTTAAAATAAAATGATGACACGTCGCTTGTTTTATAGCGTTCGAACGTCTTCGATAACATTTCGCAGTTCGCTGCTCCTTGTTTCCTGCATCGTACGTTGATAGCCAGTTGGTGAAACGGAAGTGTTTCATGTTTCAGACGGCATTCCTGACTGTGGCTCTACTGCCGTTCAGACTGGCTGCAATTACGGCACTGGTGATCATGGCTTGGCTCTTGGCTTGTCTAGGTCTCCTTGGCTTGTCCGAGGAAGATCTTCGCAAGGCACCTCTGAAAGGGTGGCGACGGTAAGATATGTATATCGGCCCATTATCTTACCCCTTTGTCTCTCGCATCCCCCCTCTGGCTTATGCGTCTCCTTATTCTTCGTCTTCAAAGCTTTTGCCTGTCTAAACTGTCCACAAGCATGAAGCATAATGACTTGCTTGCAGCTATTTTCGCCTTTTCATGTATCAGGAAACAGGAGAAGGTATCGAACAAGCGTAAAAAAAATTCTTTCGAACGTTAAAATTACTATAGAAGGTCTATGGAAAATTGTACGAGTCATTATATTTTGTGCGTTCGTCTCACGTTCTGCGTATCGAATTCCTCTGTATGCTAAATCGCGAATTCCTTCCCACTTCCGCCTGCTTTTGAAAATCGATCGCATTGTCCCTGCTAATTATAGGCACCTACTTTTACTTTTCGTTCCTATCGGTCGTAAATAATCCATACCGCCAGGTTAGTTATCTGCGTTGCATTTATTATGTTCCTTACAACTTTCGTTAACCTTGTGTCGAGAATTAGATTCACGTTCGGCCATCAATGACGATGCGGCAAGGCCAGTTTTAAAGAGTAGAAAAAGTAGGAGTTTGAATAAATGTACAACGTGAATAAGTGACGACTAGGGAAACCATGCATTAATATTAATAGCTTGAATCTTCATCCATATTCGAAATTGCTGTCGCAGAAAATAAACGAAACACTTTAGTAGGACAAGAGGAGGATCTTAAACGGTCAAAGAAATCGTCGTTAATTAAAAACGATTGGTAGGATGCAAAATTTGTATCGCTGGTCTCATGTTTCCCTGTCTGAAAATATAGAAATCTTTTCACAAACCGAATATATTAAACCGTTCGGATGCAGGAAATTCTGAAGTAATCCAAAAAACGGTGTTTGCGAGTATCGAAATGACTAGATCACCGGACATCAGTCGAAGAATTTTATCTCTGACATACCTTGAGACGTGCTGAAGATGATGTCCAGTGGGGAGAGAGCGTGAATGACCGCGGCAAAGAAACGAGTCGAGAGATAGATAGCATAAAAAGAATAAGTAACGGGAGAAAGTATGCGTCAGACAAGTAGTTCGCGTCCGTCTACTCGCGCCGGGCCTCGAATCGATGGAATTTACAATGCTCGCCTGGCTTTCCCGTGTATGATCTTTTCGGTGATCGCCGGGCGACATTTAATCGGCGCGAGTGCTCGCGCGGGTCCGATCGCGTTTAGAACCAGAAACGGCGATCTTAATCTCGGTGATTTTCACCGAACCGGGTTGCTCGCTGAAAAGCCGAACGGATTTCCTAAGAGGCAACGACGGATTGAAAAGTTTTGCTTAGAGAGGTAGAAAGGTTCGGCTCTGCACACTTGCTGGCAGAAGTATAGTCGATCGCTCGCTATTTGGATGAGATGCAAATTCAGTGATTACACTCGAAAGATGAAGTCGGAAATGGATGTTTAAATAGACATATGTGCACCGAGAATTACTAGTGTGCACAATGTCTCTCGATTCTTTATTTTGCAACAGAACTCCCTGCATCTGACATCAAATATATCTAACGAAAAGAATACGTCGAGTAAATATGTACTTTTTGTAACAACTGTATGATGCATTTCGCGTAAATACTAAATATTTGCAGTAAGAGAAAACGTGTGTAGACGGGAAACATGTTTAATTTATCTTCTCTTTTCTAGAATCCGATTTCAAGATTTAATTACTTAAAGTTGAATATTAATTTCTCGTGTTAATAATAAAACTGAGATGTAGGTTTCGTTTGATTTCTGTAACCAAATGTGTGTCACGGAGCTACGGTCAATACTTTCACGCGTAAACATTGTTTAGAATAATAAATACAGACGGTAGATGTTAATGGCAAAATCGTTTGCATGCAAATGTATGCTCGTCGCATCATAACGATTGTCCCATCTGTTTCCACTTCGCACGTCTTGTCTCACGTACTTGGTATTTCTTATTGTTAAATGGAAACGTTAAGCTTTTAATAGATGTAATACGTCTATCGTACATTGATTAGAAATTAGATTAGATTCGTGATGTAAAAATGTTGTATAAAACTTCGCTGACTCAATGTTCTTCGCAAAGTTCAATTCAGAGAAGTGCTCGCCACGGTTTTGTTTATTCATACAATAATCGATAACAATTTCCCGTATCCATGCACATGGTCTTTCCTAGTTGTCGATGAATAATTTAACGACTCAATATCTTCGCGGACTAGTGCTTCGCCTTAAGGGTAGTATCTCACGGTTCACGGCTGTTTCGTATCTAAACAAAAGTAGAATTCTTTGCATCAAACACTATATTATACAAATAATCATTTGAGTCAACTACAATCAGCATAATCATGAAAATTATTTGTTACTGATACTTATATAAACTGTAGATTAAAGAAAAGGCCATCGCAAAAAGTAATTAGCATTTTATTTTAGAGTCTTGCTGTTTTTTTGTATTCCATAACAAATGCCGATATCTTCGCGGACTATTGCTCTTTGCGTCAAACACTATGATTATACAAGTAATCACGTGAGTCAACTACAATCAGTCTAATCATGAAAATTATTTGTCCTTATATAAACTGTAGATTAAAGAAAAGGCCATCGCAAAAAGTAATTAGCATTTTATTTTAGAGTCTTGCTGTTTTTTTGTATTCCATAACAAATGCCGATATCTTCGCGGACTATTGCTCTTTGCGTCAAACACTATGATTATACAAGTAATCACGTGAGTCAACTACAATCAGTCTAATCATGAAAATTATTTGTCCTTATATAAACTGTAGATTAAAGAAAAGGCCATCGCAAAAAGTAATTAGCATTTTATTTTAGTCTTGTTGTTTTGTGTATTCCATAACAAATGTATCGATGTACACCATGAATGTTAAATGTAAAGGCAAAAATCGCATGACGTAGAGTAGTGTTGTAATTCGTACAGTTTGTGACACGGTACAGTTGAAATATATACTTGAGACAAAGATGTAAAAAATAAAACAGAGACATGCGAATTGTGATCTGCTGGATGATGCGAGCGTTGTTCATCTGCGGAGGATTTCATCAGCTGAAGGTGAAGGGTCGTAAAGCGGAGTCGAAGGACGCGCCGGTGTTAGCCCTAGCCCCGCATTCGAGCTTCTTCGACGCGCTCCCGGTCGTGTACCTCGGCGGACCAAGCATCGTTGCCAAAGCGGAGACCGGGAAAATTCCTTTTTTCGGAAGTAGGTCTCCTCCTACTGTTGCTCAACATTTTGTTAAATATCGCTCTGTGTCCCATACGGCAAAAATTTGGAAATTATGTTGGCCAATACACCAATCAAGAACGAATATAATATTGCAATGTGCACATAATTTTAAATCTGAAGACAAATATATAGCTTCAATGTCTGCCAGTCTAACAAGAATATGTATGTGGTGAATGGGAGTACCTATGTTGTTACTAACTTTTGAACAAGGTTCATACCTATGCTATTAACTGACGCTGTTTAACATTCTGGATAAGCGAAGTATTACGATTCTTCAATTAAAAGTTTCAAAGTAACACACTTTTGCTTACCGGTCGCTTCCTGAATTCATTTCGTACTTCTTCCTGTTCTTCCTTCTCTCTCTTCTCTCCAGTCTTCTCTTCTTCCATGTTTTAAAGCAATTACGAAACTCGATACGCTCGGTAATTGACTCGTTTCGGGGAAGAGGAATTTGTCGCAATACATTTATTCATTGAACTTACGAAACCCGGCGCATATTTCGGCCCGTTTACGAGACGGAAAAAAATCCATCAGCGAGGTGTGCGATATACAGAAATTGCGTGGTATGATAAACCCGCGGCCGCGTAAACTTTCTCGCTAACAGTACACCGGCGCGATGTCACGTGGCTCTGAAGCAATGAAGTTTCACTCTTGTGCAAATATAAACCGGTGGCGGAATTTTTCTACCATTGGAACCACGCTACGTAGCCGATAAGAAATTGCCCGTGCCGTTAACTCCGTTAACAACGACGTCCGCGTCTATTCAGAGGCACCGTACTACGCTTACAAAGTTTATATTAAGAAAAGTAAACTCCGCGCGTTCTAAAATTATCAACGCTGAACTTTTCATTTTATTCTATCATTATCTTTAATTAGAGTCGCTTCAGACTCCCCGTTCAGAGATCGAACGCCAATTTGCCAGCGCTACTATTAAGTGCCAATTACTTCAATCGAACCAGCAGCGTCTTGCGACTATCGAACTGGAAAGTTGAATTAATCAACTGTAAAGGGACGCTGCATTCGATGCGCGAACGTCCTAAAGTTTGTCAGGTGTAGAATATCGGAACAACTAAATTTCACCGTCCTGATACTGAGGCAGCCTTTAAGGCCCCGACACACTAGCGATTCGAGGACTGTCCGACGAAGATTTGATCAGGTGGCAATATACGATATCTACGATTCACGTGAAAAATCATAAACGCGATTTAATTCGTGACAGAAGTGGACATCGTATTTTGTCATCGCCGTATCATGCTGGTTCGTGTACGGGGGAACCTTTAACCATGATCGATTGAAACCTGCAGCAAAATAGTGCCCTGGCTGTGTTTTATGGGCCGGCTGACGTACCAAGCTGGAGGAATGAGAATCGTGGTTCGCGGAAGGCAAGCTACGAGGGCGGAGGCGCCGATCCTGGTGGTTGCGCCCCATTCGACCTTCATGGACGGAGGGATCGTCTACATAACCGGGTTTCCTTCGATCATCGTAAGACGGGAATCGGGACTGAACCCGTTCATCGGAAGTATGTGCCAATTACTGAAACGATTACGTACATACCTGCTTCCTATGATTAACCAACCCAGCAAACAATACCCACCGTCTACTAACTCGACGTTCTCTTGCTATACTTCCGTAACGACGATTGTTTGACCAATCGATAATCGTCGAAGAAACTCATCGTTTAGGCATTAATTGCGAGGAATCCCATTCACCACGATACGTGTGACTCTGAGCTTCTTATCAAAACGTGGTATCCATTCAAAAATTGAACACTTCATTACGAGTATAATTAAATAAAACTTGATGACTATTGCTGTTTAACGTAGCGATCGACAAAAGCGTGATCTAAGAGATTTTCATTAATTTATGTGTAATACATCCGCAGAACTTATCAATTATACGCAACCGGTCTATGTTTGGAGGGAAGATCCTAATTCCCGGCAAAATACGATTAAGGAAATTATCGAAAGGGCTACGTCGAAGGAGGACTGGCCACAGGTAAATAAGATTAGAATGTGAACGGATGGTGGCTGTTATCTTGGAACATCTGTCAGGAAAAACTGATTAAACTAATAATTCTCCATGGTAGGTGATGATTTTCCCCGAAGGTACTTGTACAAATCGATCGTGCCTAATTACATTCAAATCAGGTGCATTCTATCCCGGTGTCCCTGTTCAACCTGTCTGCATTAGGTATCCGAATAAATTGGACACCGTCACGTGGACTTGGGAAGGTCCTGGAGCGTAAGCATTTTACTCTAAGGCTTTCGTTTAACTCGACACCTGCTCTCCTTGGTCGAGTCTTCGATCAAAATGCCACTTGACGCAAATTGTATGACTTCAGGTTGAAGTTATTGTGGCTTACGCTAACTCAACTGAATAGCAGTTGCGAAATAGAGTTCCTCCCCGTCTACAAACCGAGCGAAGCCGAGAAAACAGATCCTAAGCTTTACGCGAACAACGTGCGACGACTCATGGCAGAGTGAGTGCATTTCATTAAATGTCGATGATCACCTCGGAGCACTTTAAGGATGTATTGGCTATACAGTCAATCCCAAAAGTTTATGTACATTAGAAAAACTCATTCCCTATAATTAAAAAGAAATCAGACGTCGGAAGAACAATGCTAATAATAAATAGCTACGTGCTAAAAAGTATAGGAGGAAATATCCAATTAAATATTGACGATAGAAGAAAAATTTTTTACATGGAAATTGTAGATCTCGTCGTCCTCTACAAGAAAGGTCATATGCAACTTTTCCGTATGTCCAACGGTTTGGAAGTTATTGGCCAAAAACGAAAATTTGGAAGAAATTGAAGGGGTACCCCTTGGAAAAATCTCGGAAAAATCGAAAATTTTTTTTTGTTGTTTATTATGAGCATCCTTCTTCCGACGTCTGATTTCTTTTTAAAAAATGCGTTTCTAAAGTGCATAAACTTTTGGGATTGACTGTATAGCGAATACATCCTTAAGTGATTCGCGAAGGATAATATTATGGATGAAATCTTTTCCAATTTATCTTTTAGAGCACTTCAAATCCCAGTTTCCGATTACACTTACGATGATTGCCGAATCATTACCAAAGCACACCAGCTACACATACCCCGAGCATCCATTATAGTCGAAGCTCACAAACTGCGAAACAAACTCGGGTACGTCTTTATAAGATCTTAACGTGCAATCAAAATGGACATTAATGCATTTTAGAATAATGTATAATTTCTAATATTCTCAGTTTGGGATCCGCTAAGACAGAGGAGGAATTGGTGCAGAAGAAAACCGAGAGATTTAGCGACGAAGTTGACCTGCACGAGTTCGCGCAGATCCTCAGAATAGACGAGAAAGAGCCTGCTACTCAACAACTCTTCCGAATACACGATAGAGTAAATATTCTTATATCAGTATTAATAGTGATATGCGTGTAAGAATTCTTCTTTTAATACTTTTAAACAATTTCAGGAAGCAACGGGTAAAATTGATTTGGAGGAATATTTATTCACAGTATTAGCGACGAAAAACGCAAACTCGGAATTAGATAAAATTGAAACTGCATTCGAGGTAAGGGCTAATAAAGATATGTGTTGTTTGTTTAATACTTATATTATTTACTCATAATCCACAGGTATGCGGTACTAAAACGTTATCGTGTATCGATAAATTGGAGCTAAGGAAAGCTTTAAAGTTGTCGTTAAACATGTCGGCGGAAGAGTCTGATAAGATTTTTCAAAATTCGAAGATCGATCCCTCCGACACGACAGTGAACTTCGGTAAGTTTCATTCAGACACATTATTTTTATAAGTCGGGGAAAAATGCTGTTTTGCTAATTATTTTTATTTATTTTGAGTAGAATTCGTGCTAGCCGCGCTGGCAGCAAGAGCAGAATACGCTCATATATTCGCCGGTAGTACCGAAACGAGGAAAAAAAATATTTGAGATTATTTCATCCACTCGTTCCAAGCTCATCGAAGATACAGGACTCGCCGTACCTATGACCGGCCGCTTCTCAACCAAACATGCGTCAGTCCCGTATAAAACTGTTGTCATTCTTGCTAATAGTACTACCCTATCAACGAATAGACAGCCATTTTTATTTAGTATTATTATATCGTTGACGAAGCAAGATAAGGTGACCGTCTTCGTGAGAATGAAAGATAAACGGAACGAGGAGATCGATATAATTGTAAAAAGAATTTCGTTACTTGAACGAATCGCTGTATTGGCGTTCATGTACGTTTGTATGAACGGAGTCAATTTTCGTAGGGAACGTTGGGACCCGAAGTTAGAAGAAACCAGAAAGGAGAGAGAAGAATATCTATTTATTAATTTAATTAATTATTCTAATGTTTTAATTTGCCACGAGGTACGTACATAATTACTTTCACTTACGAAGGTTTCAATTTTTATATCGCGCTGTTCTTTGATATGAGATTTCGTATTGCAAACGTGTATTGTTTATAGAAACACAGAGAGAGAGAGAGAGAGAGAGAGAGAGAGAGAAAAGATCTTATTTTTTATTCATCACTCGACTCACACGCATACGAATGTAATTGTGATATATATTTTCTTTTATTTCAAGACATTAAGGAGAAATATTATGCATATGAACTTTCTTTGACACGAATACACATGCTCGTCTCTCCTGCCGTTACTCGCGTTGAATTATGAAACTTTCCTTCTTTCCTTACCCAAAGCGTCATTATTGAAATTCAAAGTCATGTAAATAGTATTACACCAAGAAGGTTTCTTAGACGTAAGCTGACGCAGGTATTACCCTCCGCGTGTAAGCGAATCAAGACGGACGAGTCGTCCGCAGAAAACAGAAAAAAAATTAGTCATAGAATTATCTAGATTGCTCAGGGTCCTACCGATTAAATAAATTCGAAGGCTATCGAATATTTCGCGTGTTCTAACGAAGCGTGTGCGTGGCAAAACTGAGAAATTGGAGTTTCTAATATGTCTAAGGAAACGGAACATGTTTAGGACACTGCATTTAGAATAAATATATTACAAAATTTATTCTTTGCACGGTAATAATACATACCACAGTATTTAATATTTAATAAACATGAGATACATATACACGTGTGTATGTACATCTGTATGTATGCGTATACGAGAATAATGACGATACGTTTTGTTGTGAACAGATACTATGCTGATGAAGCTGAACGGTCGTGTGCATACGCATACACGCACATGTGCATGTATGTTTACATTATATACATATATTGTATGCCAATATATATGTATATAAGGGAGAATACGTAATTGTATATACTATATATAGATACAATAAAATATTCTTACAAGATATCGTCTATTTTAACTAAATTTGATTAATTTTGTTATTCCGCTTAATGTGAGAAGAACAGTATCATCGATTAGATTTAAGTACAAATATACACACATGTTAAATGTAACAGATCTATCGTATTACAAAAAATTATTGGACGTGACACAAAATAAAGACTGCTTTTCTTCGTAATATCAAATGTTGATACAAAATCAAATTGTCCATGAAAGGCATTCAATGTTGAATAATCACAACCGATCTTTTTTTTTAATAGTTAACGTATCTACTAGATATCTTTCTACGTGATCCAGTGTACATACAACAAATACTCTCGTAACTTTAAAATCGTAATCGTTATGGCAGGATGTATTCCAAAAGTTCCTTGTCTTATTCATTTATTTTTGTAAGAACACGATAACACAATAAATTATCTATAATACATAGTGAATAATTCGTTCTAATAAATATACTCTGCGACTTTATAGAATATAAAACTACAAGCTGTAATAACTGCTGCTAATACTTTAAAATGTGTAAATTATACAAAGCGTTACAGTCGTACTTGTGCAGTTAAACGAAGTAAAATTGATATATCATTTACTGACTACAGCTCAGATCTAAGTCTGTAAACGCTTGAATTTGATTTAATCGCGCGAATGATTTAATAAAATTACATGTTAAAAGGCACACCATTATAGTGATGCTTAATAATACGTATTTGTCATCGAACTTACATCCTGATTGTACAATACTATATTCTGATTTGTATCAATTTTGTGCATCACTTGTACCGTCCATCATATATAATACATACAGCAGACGTTAAGTACGATTATAAAAAACAATGAAACGTGTGAACGGGAAAGAAACATTTTCCTGTAGACACGACCGAAAAATCAAAATTGAGCTTACTTTTTTCGAAAGATACTAGACATACTCGGGGAACTAGTTTTCTGATGAAATATTTTACTCACTCGTTGCCTCATATCTTCTACACCTTGTCCCACGTTCACCGTAGCCATTGATAACGAAAGGCCAGAACTCATTGACAGAGATCTAAAAAGAAACCCACACAAATTAATTAGTAGATAATTTCAATCAGGGAATTTTTTTTAATCACCTTTCCATTGGTTTCGAAAGATCCTGTCGAGATTCAGCTTCTTTTAGAAGCGATCGAACCGCTTCTTTCTGTTGAGGTAAGTGCTGGTTGACCAATTGCTCGAGACATTTCAATCCCGGCAATAATACACCGGATACGCATTGATTGCTCAGCGGACAATACACTAAGACAGAATACGCTTCGACAAGAGCATTAATGAGATCGATCTTCCGGGCTTGTTGCAATGCCGATGACGTTATCCCCGTCAATTGCGTGGCTATAACTACAAAATTATCATTTTTAACTTTAGCTATCATACAAAAGTACACGATTTTTAAAACCTACTTACCATCTTCGATGTAATTTTGAGGACAATTGGGAGCGATGAATGCATACGTCGAAACCAACGGCAGTGCTACAGTCGGTGGAACACCCTGTGGATCTTTAGCAATCGTTTCTAAAGTTAAACGTGCTTTATCGCGCATCTCTCTTACTTTACACTCCGTAATTAAACGACCAAGAGAAGGAATCGCAGCGGATCGAACGGATCTAAATAAAAAAAATTAAGAATATCTGTAGTATGCTTAGCAATTCATCTTACTATGAAACGATTTATGGATCAGATAAATAAAACGCAACTAAGACGACAAAATAAAATATTTACAAATGTATCTTACACATCGGGATCACTAACGAGTGTAACGATTGCAGGAACTACCTTAGCACTTGCTAACCGGTCAGATACGTGAGCTATTACGCAACCGAATAGCGTCGCAGTTGCGCATCTTACGATGGGTCTTTGGTGTACTACCCCTATAAAAGATAGAGGAACGAGTAATTAAAAAGAAATGAAACAGAAGATGAAACTCCACTAAGAACGTATAAAACTAAAACTGACCATCCCATAAACCACTAAGGACGTACTCCTGCATATGTTCTTGGGCGCACAATATAATGATTGCAATCTGTAAACTAGTAATACTAGTGCCACTCATAGACAAAGCAACGAGGAATTGTTTCAAGGACTTAGAAACGTCTGTACCGTTCAAGGTGGACAGTATAATCAAGTATGCCGGGATCAACGTTAAACTCATACTTTTTTTATCACTTGACAGGGTCGTTAATTGTTGCTCGAGTTCAGTTACCTCGGCTGCGAATATTGGTTGAATCTAGAAAATGTCCCCAATTATATTCATGTATATTGAAACATTTGTTAAAGTATTTACCCTCGTTTGTGTGACGTATCGACCGAAACCCAGACATAACGAATGAATATACGTTAAAAGAGCATTTAATATAGTCTCCTGAACAGTATCGATCGATTTCACCATATCCAAAACGTCGAACACCCTGAAAGCGTTAATCGTGAATATGCGCGGACATTAGCATTATCAAATCGAAAAATGAAGAAAAAGTACAATTTATTCGTGAACCACTCTAATTCTGGCCATGAATCGTTTTCCCAGGTATTCGCAAAAAATGTATTTAGAAGAGCTCCTACGTCTAGATCGCCGTCATAAAATACTTTCGGATTAACGATATTGGAATGACACAAGTTCAGGAACACATCGGCTGTATGATAAGATATACGTATATAAATTTCTAAAATACTCGAATACAGTTTTGTACGCGGCCGTACGTTGTACTCACGTAAATCAGACGACATCCCGTCTTCGATGTACGTCCTGACCGAATCTGTATCCGCTATACAGATAACCATATGCGGAAGTAAATATTGTAACACCGCAATGGACGAGACTATTCTTCCTTCGTCTACGTGATCTCTGTTAGGCGAATGTTGCGAATGACCGGACTTCAAGTGACTTTTTACTTTAGATATAATACGTGGCAGCAGATGCGTTTGCAATCTTTTTAACGAGAGCGCCCACTGAGCCAAAATTGGTAAGAGTATGGAAGATGCAACTTCGATCGCCACAGTTGACGTGTCCTGAAGCGCTGTTAATGCTAACTCTTCGCACTGAAAAAAATAGCAATATTACACTTTTTCTTTCCGTCGAATTAACATTTTAAATGATAGTGCACACGGTACCTGAAAATATTTGTCAGGATCATCCATTAAAGCTATCAGCAGTGCGAGACTCCTTATCACGCTAGCTCTAACTGTAGGATCCTTATCTTCGAGCAACATTTGCTGGAGCATAGAAAGCATTAAGGAGTTCCTTATGCCCACCGACATGTACGGTGCTAATACGGAACAGCATTCTACAGCTAACAATCTTTTCTCAGGATATTTGTGCTGACTTTGCTCCCAACAAATAGTTAATATTTCTTCACCCTCCATTGGCTCGTCCTCAAGTTTTGCCATAGCGACGAAGCCTAGAGTTAAGAAAAGATATAAAGTAGTAAAAAATTTTATTTCAAATATATAATTACAGTATCTGTTTGTATTAACCAGCTAATATTAACTGTCTCTCATCTTCTTGTGGCCTCTTCTTTAAATTAAATAGTAACTGCAATAATTTCTCTCTCTCTGCAGAGTTATTATGAAGCCGAATCGCACTGAGTATTAATGGTATTACTTCCTCGCGTTTGTTTAAAATAACATTAGGTACGATACGAGGTAACGTTTGTGCTAAAATGTGTACGAGCGTGTCGCGTGTAACTCCATTCTTGAAAATCTCTTCCGCCGGCGAAACGATCGAATTCGGAACATTTACTAAGCAATGCGCTATTACTTCCACTTTGAATTTCAACGGTAGATGTCTGAAAATATCTGTTTCTTATAAAATATTTCTATGAAGGGATATAGGAATTATTATAAAAGTACCTGGATGGTGGATTTGGAAGGATAGACGATCCTTCCGTGACGTCTACTCTAGGTAATTGAATTCTGGTCCATTCTTTGTCGCCAGGATCTGTTTCGCCAAGGCTGACAACGACAGAAACGCTATCGTCCTCTTCGGGTTCTTGCGTCACCGTCGATGTGTCGCGAGCTGGAGTTTCGAGAAGTTCAAATTTATCTGGAGTAGTAGAATTGGAATTTATCGTTTGTATCGTTCCGCTACTGCCTTGCTATACGAAAAATATGTTTCTTATAAAATCTAGGAAACAATTTTTAAAACAATTTTCATTTATTATTTTAATTTATACCTTAACAGGATCTTGAGACAAAGTTTCATTAGTGGTAGCAATGATCTGTTGCAGATCCAATTTTTCTTGTTCCAACAAGGCAGTTTGCTGTTTAAGTTCCTCCATTTTTTTCACCTATTGACAACGATCTCTTTAATAATTATTATAAGAAAGATGTGTCATTATTTCGTACCATTTCTCTAAATTCATCTTTTTCTACTTCCATTTCCGTTTCCATTTCACAGAAATCAGTTTGCACGCCAACATTAACAGACGGTAATTTGTCATATCCATTTGCTCGCACATATTCCCTATAAATATACAATAATTCCGGTGGCTTTGGAATATTTAATCCTACATCTTGCCAATCCTCAAAATCTTGATTCTCGTTTTCGTCGCTAAACGTGATTGACGTCAATTTATACGAACGAGCTAATAAATATTCATTAACGAGAAAGTTGATAGCTCTTTGCTCGTGGGGTTTTATAGGAGATTCATTGACGGGATATTTATCAGAATATTTATCAGGTGTAGACCCTTCCGATTCTAAAATGTTAGGAAGAACACTGATTTATGTATATTGCAATTTCAAGCTATCAGATAATATATATAATAGTCAAGATGAGAAAAGAACCTGTTACTACAGTAAGATTTGCACGAAGAGCTGAAATGCTTTCTCTGGCCTTTCTCAGTTCGAACTCTAAAATCGCTACTCTTTCATCAGCTCCTGCCCCATCTTCTGAATACCTGGTCATATCTAATGAATCTAAAGTAGCCTGACTAGATGACCTAGCTAATGAATTAGAATTCCAATACTGTATTATTTTAATAATGATGTTGTGGATAATGTCGTACATTAATGTTGTACGTACGCATAGATGTATACGGTTCTGGCTTGATGTTTTGATTTTCAAAATGATTTGGATTCGAGAAAAACTCTCTTAAAATAGGCAATTCTTTTCCAGCCTCGCATAATTCTGCGTGTAATTCCAAGGCTGTTAACAAAAGCTTCTCGTTCAAAAGTTTCGTAGCGATTTCGTCGTAAGACACCGACTTCGCGGTCGTGCATCCTAAAAAGACATTGTAAGAATTGCATTTTGCGAAATTCTTGTGGGAAGGAATGTGCGATATAAAAAATTAATACACCAAATTCGCTGACGTGTAGAAATTCGCAAGAGCCAGTGACAATTTGCATTAGTACAACACAGCTTTACATTTTTCATTATAATATCGTGTAATAACTGGCCATCGTTTAAGACGTATTATACGGAGTATGGACATTTATTTTCGTAAATTATCTATTAAAAAGAAACTCTTACCTTTATTGTCTGTGGACAGAGGATCTCTAACCTCCTGTACAGCATCAGCCATAACTTTCACTTCGTTCAAACGTTAATACAAAATGACATGTCCGTCTAGGTTGATGAATAAAACGGTAACCCACTCAGGCGCGTGCCATGCTTTTATTAATTTAATTAAGTGTATTAATAGAAATCACTTGACTGTATACGACACACCACATCATTTATGATAACAACAAAGCCATGTTACCCTCCGCGATAGTAGCAGTAGCAGACCAGCGCCTTTTAACTTGCAATTCCGAATTCATTAATTATACTTTGGCAAGTGTTTAAATGTATCGAAAGGAATTTACGTAATTGCATTACTCAGTTCGATAATATTACAAGTATTCAAACACTTATTAACACTATATCTACAGGCTACAGTAAGGCGAATTTTAATATTAAAAAAATTCGCTCGCGGAAATTAATTAATTCCCATTGCATTTTTTAATTATTGCTTAATCGGTATGCTGCGTTTGAAGAGGAATGTGAATTTTTAAAGATACACAAAATACTTCAAAAACATAGTTCTTTATCTTTCTCAGTACAAGTTTGAAGCAATTTGAATATCAATGACTTCTTACAGAAAATTACAAATAAAATATAATCATAATGAAATAAATGTGTATAAAATCAATACTTAAGCGAGAACAAGTATTACACAAGTGGCTTTCATTTTGTGTTATCGTTATACTTAATAGTCTAATAAAACGATCCTGTAGCTTATTGCACGTGAAAAATCTAAACAGAGAACAGGGTCTGAAAGTGTACCGAACTACGCTTTAATTTATTACAAAGTCACATTTATTAGTCTCAGCTTAGCTATCTCTTCTTTTGGCGTGTTCCGTCAAATAATAATTCTCTTTAATAAGTAATAATAAGTAGTAATAACGTGTTTCGAATCTTTCGAAATATCTTCTTTTTTTTATATTCTTTTTCCGCTTTCGCCTCATTTAATATTTTTATAAGTGTGCTGAAAAATCGGTATAAATGTAACTACTAAAGGAGTAATTATTTTACCGTAATAATCAATCGTAGCTTAGAAAAAATTCGGAAGGACCGTAACACCGTTTTTCTTCTCTCTATCTTTCTCTTTTCCTTTTTTTTTTAACTTTAATCCTAGAATTACTATTGCAACGTTATTAAAGTTGGTTCGTTTAGATATAATAGCCTTGAAAGACCATTTGGAAATAAGGTATTGACCGAACGATCCACTCTAAACAACTAATGCGAAATTATTTATTTTCTATAATTCGTTCAAGCACCATTGGCTGTTTAGCGATATACGCGCGATTGAACAAATTGGATTTGATTACGTCTAAAATTATTACTTCGTTCTTGATTTTACTATCATCGATAGACGCTACTTTGTCAATGTCGATAATGAACCTCGATCGACGCTAGCACGCTAATATTAAATTCTTAAATGCTACAATCACTACCGCCGATACTATCAACGATAATTCATTTTCTTCGTTAGTCTCGCTGTTTTTCGTGTGGTGTTGGTAGCTACGACATTTGATACTCTACATTCCTTAGACTTCTATTTACTCTCTATCATCACGTCATATAATTAACAACTAGTTTTAATTCGAACAATGATTCTTTTTTCGTTACATACCAATATATTCAATTGTCTCAGCAACCAACGGTAAAGTCAAAAACAGCATAAAATTTCTATAAAGTATTACAGGTCTTCCAGAATTTTTCTAAGTTATAATTATTTTATTATATCTTTTCTAAACCAGCGACCGCCAATCTCTGGATTTCATTCAGGCTGGGATCAAGAGACGTAAGGCGGCGTAGTACTCTTACTTCTTTTTTTTTTTTTTTTGATTGATATCAATCTAAATCTAGTATTTGGACGAAGTGCGAGGATGGGTCGTGCGTGCTTTTGCTTTCTAAATCGAGCGTGCGAATCTCATAAAATCGTTTTACTTCGTTTAGCCACAGATAGCTTACTTTCGTATTTTTTTTTTCATCGCCAGTTAATAATTTATTTTCGTTAATTCGTTTGATACGTACGTGTACTAGTCTTTAAATAAAAGGGGAGAGAAACAGAAACAAAGATACGAATGTCGCAATTATATATACGCGTGTTTACGTGTCTCGGGTGTATGGAAGTGTCGCGAGAAATGATTGGAATTCGTGAGGCAGCCCTGAGAAAGAGCGATTGACGCGCGTGGTAAACAATAGGTGTACATGAACTAAGGCAATGATCGCCTCGTGAGTTTGATCTGTATGACAATGAACGCTTCACTGAAGGCGTGAATTTTGGAATTACTTATTATTGAGTTTTTTTTTTCATTATCTTTACTCGTAACCTCAAGTCTTAAGAGACGTGTGTCGCGAATCTGCACACCCGTGCCTCGAATTCGTATGCAAATGACAACCTTCAACGCTAAATATCGATACTTCTGCAAACAGATGAAAACAGAACGATCAGTCACTGTAATTTGATTAGTATAAAGTATACTCATACGACGGGATTACTTACCGTCAGGCAACTCGTATAGTTTTCTAGGAAGAGACGCAAAATAAGGATGCCTCAGCGCTTCTTCAGCACCTATCCGCTGATCGGGATTTAACTGTAGAAGCGACGATGCCATGCTATCGCCTTCGGTAATATCGTAGAGTCTAGGAAACGAAAGACCCAATTTTCGCGGAGGATAGAATCCCAGTCTATGCGGCTTGTATCCTGGCAAGTGCGTAACACCGGGCCATGTTTCCTCGGTAGGAGTACCCAGTATTTTGAATATCTTATCAAGTTGGTCGTACGTACAGCGTACACCTGGGAATGTCGGTTCACCAGTTAACATCTCCATAAATATACAACCTACACCCCACATGTCAAGCGAGGTAGAATACTCTGTAGAACCCAAAAGAACGTCGGGTGGCCTGTACCATAATGTCACCACTTCGTGCGAGTACGTGTGTGACGGTACAGATTTAGCTCTCGCTAAACCAAAATCTGCTAATTTTAGTTCCCCTATTTCACTGATTAACAAGTTTTGTGGTTTCACGTCTCTGTGTAATACTCTCCTAGACAAACGTACGATCAATTAATTAAATTAAGTATATTGAATCCATAGTTGATGGAAGCAATGTAGCAAGGTCATGGGCTATAAATCCGCTAATTGACGAAATCGAATAAAGCTACTCCTGTTCCGCCTTCTTGTTACGTTATCCATACAAGTTTTGTATAAATTTACTACCTCGCTATATCCTTCCCAGTAACATATACAAAGGTACATGTTCTCACCTTCGATGACAGTACGCCAATCCCCTTAACAGTTGAAATAGAAACAATTTAACATTTCGTGGATCTAGACCACCGTTACCGCTGCCATACCTCTCCATGTATTGGGACAGATCGGTATGAACATATTCGAAAACGAAGGTAAGAGTCTCGCGCGTATGAATTATATCGTGCAAAGTAACGATATTGCTATGCTTTAATTCTTTAAGAAGGCTTGCCTCGCGTATGGCAGTAAATGGAGCACCTTCTTCCTCCTGCAGTCTAATTTCTTTAAGTGCCACAACTTGATTTGTAAGATGGCTATAGCCTTTGAACACCGTGGCATATGATCCTTCTCCTAATTGTTCCAATTTTATATAAGCTTCAGATTTACCAAAAGGGGAATCTCCCTGTAACAAAAAACAAGAAGAACTATGAACATTGAAATATCATAGAGAACTGTACTAAGCGTGCGGAGAAAACGCAATGTTACCCCGAATGCTGAAAATCTTTTAGTTCTTCTAGGTGGATCTGGCCCGAGGAAGACCTCTGACTTGGGTCGTGGTGGGCGTCGAGGTCGTAGGATTACTCTCGCTTCTTCACGTATATCCTCGTCGAGAAGCTTGGAATCACTAGAAACGGAAAGCTGCCGATGCACTCTCTCATGGTCGCCCACACCTGTCCATTCTATGACATCCAATTTCGTCCTTAAAACTTTCTTTAAAATAACAGCAATAGGAATCCACGTAAAATGATAATCCCTCATCAATCTTTATCAGTACATATAAATTCTATTTTATATGACTTCCGTTCGATAACGTAACATTAAATGAATTAGGTCATACTACTAAATTCTATTCGTCTCTACAGTGACAAACATTTGCCGCAGATAACGAAGGTCAATGCAAACGTTTATCACAGACATTTATGTAAGATGTTATGTTTTATACAAAGAAAAAGGTCATGTACTTGGCTACTAGATAGATACTAATATATACTACAAGCTATTGAATTTCATAAATAACTATAATCAACATATACAATATTTATGATTACGTTATACAATCGCAGATTAGAGAGTGACTGCCCGTAGCAAATAAATTTTACGCTTACCATAACGACGGTCCTTATCTGTAGGTATATTGCCGTTTGGTTCTAAACGGTCTAGGAACTCCTCGGAATAGCCATTATATGGTAGTTGACCCCTACTTGTAGCATCATCAGCCTCTTCTTTTGATATTGCTAAGAAATCAATATTAAATGACAGATCTTAATAACAAATCTTACATACTGAGATTTATTACAAAGTGACAATTGAACAGCATTGAACAACATTCAGCAAGATAACATATAAACAATAAACATGTAATATTAAAGGAATTTTAGTTGTACTTACAAAGTCTTCCAAAGCTGTGGCTTAGCCTTTTTTTGAGCTTTTGTACTCTGCTAAGAGCACCTCCTTTCTTCTCCCGCATTGTCACAGACCCTGTGCATAACAAGCGCAATCTTTAGCAACTGTAAATCAAAACAAAGATATATAAATTCAGACATTGGCAGTAGTGTAATATATACCCAAGAAACTCAGAATAATTTAAACATTATGGACTATTACATGTGTGATGACATCATGCAGTGTGCAATGCCAGTGATCCTCAATCTTATGATTAATTGTGATAGAGACGTGTAAGACATATTTATCTTTGATAAAGTGCAAAGTATAAATGTAACAACATTACCAATAAACACTTCACTTCCAGAAATAAAAATTTATTTAAAAGTCTCTATCTTTCGTATACATTTTTCCTTCTGTTAAATAAAGATTCTGTACGAACGTCTGGTTAAACAGCAGTGCAAAAGAACTTGTACTTGCTTGTACAAATGCAAATGACATTCTTTCTTAATTTACGTTCTGTATAAGAACTATCTATGTAGACTAAATATAAAAAGACAATAGAAGCAGTTGTTCAGTGGATCCAGTAATTTATTCTATAACAATGGTAGCAATTCACAAGACAAAATTACAAGTAATTGGCCGGTTTATAATTTGTAAAACCAAGCAAAACCAAGCTTCTTTTACAATAAATATTTAAGACCATTTTCTTACACCCAAAAATGGATGACACCTATATTTTTTAATACTAAAGTTTTAGCTAAGTTTCTTCTACGATAAGTATTTAGAATTAGGAGGTGTTAATAATTATTTAGTCCTGTTACGTCGTAGCACTTGTTAGATGCCTATGAGAACTAGAAGATTAAAGAGCTCGTGTGAACCTGTATTTTTTTTACTGGAACTGTACTTTTGAAAGGCTATGGACTGCATCTAAATAGGAAGCATCTGATGACTGCGCCAACGGAATTCCATTATTAAGAAGCGTCAAGCAATTAAAACTCGTAACAGATACATTCATGAGTACGTAGATACATACGTATGTATAGTTATATGTGTAGTGTACATAATATAAGTACGCATGTATAATGTGCAACGCGTATAGACGCATGTGTTATTGCTACAGGTCAATGAACTAAAGAAAGTTTTAGTTATAGGTGTGAAATAACGATAGATAAATTACGTTGACAATTTCTAGAGTGGCTACTGACACCACATCCCGTTTCACGCTGTTCCGCATGCTTCCCCGTACACAAAAGCACTTTTCTCCATTCACGCATTTGTCGCGTTCTAAACGAGTGACGTTTTCGCGGCAACGTTTAAGGCACTACCGATATCCGTAGCACAGGAAGGTGACGATGCACTCAGGGCGTCGATGCGATCTCACATCTGATAAAACTCGTCTACGCGGAACGAAGTTCGATAAAAGGGTACGCCAAGAATGTACACGATCCGTTTCTCTCTTCGAAATACATACATACTGTTTGGTCCCCCACCCCGGTTAGTTTGTAAACGTAAACGACACACTCTCCTCGTCTCCCTCTTTACCGCACTCTTTTTGCCCGTCCTGTCACTTTGTTTCTCTTCGTTGGGCTAACAATCCACCCCCACAATCGCGTAACATTTAACACTCTTGTCCGCCCTACTCAATCGTGTTTTACCGTGTCCACACGTGCGAGACAGAGATACGAAGAAAATCCACAGTGAAACACGAAGAGAGGATAAAAAAGACGATGGGCAAGAGCAAGACGAAAGCAGTGGATGAGCGTCGAAAGGCTGCGGAAAAATGGAAAAGTCACAGGAGGAGAGAAGGCTCGGAGGAAGAATTGGCCGTGTGATAGTCGGATCTCTCGCGGGCATCAACTTACCCTCTTTGCTCTTGGAGGCGGTCGAGCTCTTGTCTTGACAGTACATGATTACTCATTCGCTCGAATGCACGAAACACATCACATATGGGCGGTGACGCACTGTGTGTACGTATGTATGTGTCAGTATACGTGAGATGCTACGTTTCGTGGTGTTCCTCTCGGGCAGGTCAGGTCCGGCGAGCACCTCCTTCACCTTTCCCGTGTCTCGTACATCGGTGCCAGCGTGCGAGACTTCTCTGATAGACTGATCGCCATGAAAAACACACCACCGTTTCCCCCGTTCACCGCTTTAAGATCCCGCGCCGCCGTGTTGTGTGCTCCGGCTGCGGTACACACTACCCGATACTATGTACTATGTACCCCGGTTAAACCTTCGCCGAGAGCTCAGCACTCCACCACACTCCTCAACTCGGCGCGATCCCAAGTATCTCTCGTAGCCGGGGTTTCAGTGTCGCGACTTCCTCGGATGTACGGCGGGTGCTCGCGCACGCCACCACTACCTCGAACAACTCATCCGCGAGAGCAAACTCCTCACCGAGTTCCCTGTTCCCACAGCCTCGCTATTATACCTCGCGCCACAGACAAAAGTCTCAAACTGGCCGATCCACATTGGTCATTGGTCTGTGTATATGCGGTAAAGATGGCGTTCATAATCACTAACTGTGATTTATCACAGTATCGTAAAATCACAATCACACCTCGAGATTATCGTGGAATCACAACCGTGATCGCGATTTTTCATATTGAATGGACTCACTATATAACTTTCATATGTCTTGTTCACATATTTACTGACCCGAAAGATGACTTGATTTTAAAAAACATATTCAATATGATTTTAAACTAGTACATTATTGCATTTGTAGCTTTAAACAGTAGTAAGAAATAAAGAAATCCATAAAGAAATTATTTCTTCTATTTCCATACGTATTATATGTATGTATGTTGTTGTAATTCAATACTCAATATCATTAATTGTCTCTCATAATTTTCAATACGATTTATTATCACTTGTAATTCCATTTCCTTCTGTAAATCATACTTTTACTTTAATATTTTTAAATCGTTATATCTACAACATACAAGTTAGTTAATAGTTGTAAAAATTCGGCGTCAGTCATTCGATCATTATGGTGGTGATCGTGAATCACTTCAGATATTCAAATCACTGTGGTTACTGCAATCACTGGGGCATCGTAGTTCACAAATTCACGTCATCTTCACAATCTACTCTCCACCAATGAGAAGCGATCACAAAAATCATGATCATCGTGAAAAATCACGATGATTTGAGACGCACGTGATCCAAAAGTAGCAGTTGATGCCATCTCTATGCGGTTCGCAAGAAGTAGAACTGCGCCCTCGATGATATTTTCATGAAACTTCGTTTACCGATGTTGACATCCAAATTTTGTTACCCGATCCCCTCGTGCTCGATCCTATGTCTATGAGAAATCTTCGAGCCCCGGTGTATATAACTCCGAAATCGAGATTTGCGTTTATCACTGAAATCAGAGCGCGTAATTACTTACATAAGTTATATTTCATTCTCTTTTCGCAAACCCGATTTTCATTCACATCTCTGTAGACAGCAGACAGTTGCGCATGCGTTTGCAATATTTTAAGACGTGCCGGACGTGCGTATTGGAGGATACTTTCGCCACCTTTCGCGTTGTGAGTCGGCAAAAAGGGAAAATTGAAAACGGCTTTCAAGACATTTCGGTATATAAGAATTTTTCGTGTCGCGATTCAACATCGAGCGATGTCGAGCACAGAAAAGAAACCGTTCTATCGGCTGCCCATTGATGTCCAGCCTGAACATTATAATATTGTTTTGTCACCGAATCTGAAAACTTTTGTCTTCGATGGCAAAGAGGATATTCACATTGACGTAAGCTCGAGTTCTTCAGATCGCCTATTAAAACATTAATTGTTTATACGATTAGTTGTAAATTTATAATTCAAAAGATGAGAGCATTAACCATATGGCAAACATAACCACAAAACTCATTTATATGGCACATGCATATAGATATATGTGTACACATTCGATGACATCCGGATTACAGTAAATTTATAAGCATTTCTCTTATGTAACTTTATTTACAATCTCAGAGTACGCCTGTATTAAAAGCAAGACAGATAGTTACATAGGGTGTTTCCGAACTGATGGTACAAATCGCAAGTGACTATGTGCAAAAAGTTAAAAAAAGAGAATAATACGTTTTTGTATCTGACTTCATTTCCAAATAAACTAGTGTTGAAGATTTACTAAGTACAAATTTCTATGTTTACAGGTAAACAAGTCTACAGACACAGTCGTCTTGAATTCACTAGACATCGATATAAAGTCTGCAATATTCAATGGCAAAGATGGAAATGTCATTCCTACCAAGAAAATCGACGTATGTGCCTCAGAAGAAATTGCAACCTTGGTATTTGAAGAAAATTTGCCATCTGGTAGAAGTGGTCACCTGACTCTGGAGTTTGTTGGAGAAATCAATGATAAAATGAAGGGCTTTTACAGGAGCAAATATATCGGGTACTTAAAAGTTTCCAATATCTACAGAAGTTTGTTTAATACAATTTAATAGAATAGCAGATTCTGACGTAGGGATAAGGAGGATAAGTGGGGTGCGGTAACTTTCTTATGCCCTACCGCGGCTCGTCGAGTTTTTCCCTGTTGGGACGAGCCATCTTTAAAAGCTACTTTCACAATAAATCTCGTACTTTCTCGTGATATGTCGCTCTCTGTTTTATCAAACATGGTAAGCAATCATCGTCACCTTTGAAATAACACGAGACTTCTGTGTGCATTTACAGGACTAAAGGAACCGTAGAATATGCAGCTGTGACTCAATTCGAAGCGACAGATGCTAGACGTTGCTTTCCATGCTGGGACGAGCCAGCGCACAAAGCCACATTTGATATTACCCTGAACGTGCCGTCGGGTCTTACAGCACTTTCCAATATGGTAATCAGCGCCTAGCACTTGTTTTATTCTGTTCTCTATCGATAAATCTTAATACCACCGAGCGGAATTAAAAATGTATATATTTTCTTTATTTGTTGTAGCCTATCAAAAGCAAAGTAACAAACGAAGCTACCGAAACTTTGGTCTTTGAAAGAACACCGATCATGTCGACGTACTTGGTAGCGGTGGTGGTCGGTGAATTCGACTATATAGAAGATAAATCTAGCGACGGCGTACTGGTACGCGTATATACACCGAAATCGAAGAAAGAACAGGGTCAATTTGCGTTGGAAGTAGCAACGAAAGTGTTACCGTATTACAAGACTTATTTCGGAATCGCTTATCCGTTACCGAAAATCGACCTGATCGCGATCGCCGACTTTTCATCCGGAGCTATGGAAAACTGGGGTCTGGTCACGTATCGTGAAACTTGTCTCTTGGTAGATCCGCAGAACACGTCCGCTGTGCGAAAACAGTGGATAGCCTTGGTCGTAGCGCACGAATTGGCGCACCAATGGTTCGGAAACCTCGTGACCATGGAATGGTGGACCCATTTATGGTTGAACGAGGGATACGCGTCGTTTGTAGAATTTTTATGTGTCGATCATTTGTTCCCCGAATACGATATCTGGGCGCAATTCGTAACGGACACGTATATCAGAGCGTTAGAACTGGATGGACTGAAGAACAGTCATCCGATTGAAGTACCGGTTGGTCATCCTTCCGAGATTGATGAAATTTTCGACGATATCTCTTACAATAAAGGCGCGTGCGTTATTCGAATGTTACACTCTTATATCGGCGACGACGATTTTCGAAAAGGTATGAATTTGTATTTGATAAAGCATAGTTATGCAAACGCGGAAACCGGAGATCTTTGGGACGCCCTGGAGGAGGCCAGTAATAAAAACGTACGCAGCGTAATGTCAACCTGGACCGAGCAACAAGGATTCCCCGTCGTTCGTGTTCAACATCGTCAAGACGGTAGCGATCGCGTTTTAACTTTGTCTCAGGAGAGATTTTTGGCCGACGGTTCTAAGGAAGCCGAGAACAGTTTATGGATTATACCGATTAGTATAAGCACGGCGAAGAATCCGGAAGAGAGTATGGTCAATGGTTTATTGGACGAAAGAACGAAGGAATTTCGGATCAAGAACGTGCCCGAAAATCACTGGGTGAAGATCAATCCCGGTACAATCGGTTTCTACAGGACTCATTACAGTCTAGAAGCTCTGTGCCTTCTATTACCTGCGGTACAAAATGATGAATTACCTCCATTAGACAGATTGGGTCTGTTGGACGATCTCTTTGCCATGGTACAAGCCGGCCATGCTTCTACCGTAGAAGTAATGAAACTCATGCAAGCATATCAATACGAGGACAATTTCACAGTATGGTCTAGTATATTGAATAGCTTAGGGAAAATCGGCGTCCTTGTCTCCCATTTGGAATTCGAAAATAATTTCAAAGCGTTCGGACGCAACTTGATGCGCGACATTACCAATCAATTGGGCTGGGACTCTAAGCCGAACGAAAGCCATCTGGACACTCTACTGCGATCCCTCGTACTGGGCCGTATGGCGGCATTGCACGACGAGGAGACTATACAAGAGGCGAAGAAGAGATTCGAACTACACGTTTCTGGTACCACGCTTCTCGCAGCTGATCTGCGTAGCCCCGTTTATCGGGCTGTACTCTCTGCCGGCGACGCCGATACTTACGAAACCATGTTGAGGCTCTACCGTGAAGCGGACTTGCACGAAGAGAAAGATAGAATACTGCGAGCTTTGGGTGCGATCAAAGATGAATCTCTCTTAGCAAAAGTCCTAAACTTCTCTATGAGCGACGAAGTAAGAGCTCAGGATACAGTATTCGCCATTATGTCAGTCACATCGACGTACAAGGGCCGCTTGATGGCCTGGGAATTCTTTAAGGATAATTGGAAAACACTAGTTGACCGTTACGGTGGCGGTTTCTTGATCGCGAGATTGGTGAAGTGTACTACGGAAGGTTTCGTAAGCGAGGATCAGGCAAAGGATATTGAACAATTCTTCAAGGATCATCCGACACCGGGTACCGAGAGGAGTGTTCAGCAGAGCCTCGAATCTATCAGATTAAACGCGGCATGGCTCGCTAGGGATAAAGATTCCATCAAGGAATATTTGGCCGCTAACGTTTAGTAGTGGCGCGTGTTACTTCTTGTATCGAGTTCTTGTCTCTAACTTGTTGCAGTCCGAACAACCGGCAAGGGTTGCTATTTCGCGAGCGTACTAAAGAAAGATTGAGTTGCTTCGAGTCGATCTAAGGGAAAAGGAAAGTAGAGATTCTCTTTTGACACGCACGACATCGTAGGATCTGCATCTCGCATACAGCGACTGCGTAAATAGTTTTCTTGTTTTATCGCAAAATAAAATTTCTTCCGGCGAAATGTACTACAAGTTTATGGTTTCGCTATATTTCATATCGATAATGTATCTTTTCATTTGCGGTATTATTTACCACTTGGCATTTATTTTCCCAGTTTTATGAACTACGAACACGTTTAAATTCTCCCAACGACTACGATTTCGGGTCCGCGCGTTAATATTTACAATTTTGTATTTGTGTAAAACGAGAGAATCGAAGATAAAAAAAAAGGAAACAAGCGTGTAGCTGCAGGAATTCATTTATATCATACAATAATCGAGAAAATTTAAATAAATACTTTTACGCTTGTATGTGTATGTATACTGAACAGCCCTACTCCTACTGACCACCTAGCAAAAAGGAGAAAGATAAAAATGACATAAATTGATTTAATGCTTCCTCAAGTCGTCACGCATCAACTGAATCACGAAACAGCACCCTCCAAGCTTTCGCATCACGAAATCTATACCTCGCGATCGATCTATGTGTAGGCGAGGAAAAGTCATATCGGCCACTTAAGCATCGTTACACGCTGGCAAGGTGACGGTTACGGAGTACAGTACGAGTGGCGCTCCTTATCCCGGGCATCGATCAGCCCTTTCAACCCGCGTAGGAGGGTGTGCTACCCGTGAGTCAGCCTCCACTTTCGTTATTAGCGCTTGCACACGCGCGCAACAGCTTGGTAGTCGCGTCGAGTAGTCATCGACCACCCTCCCTTCGTATGTGCTTTCTCCCCGTTTTCTCTGTATGAATACCGAACAAGCTGAAATAGTCGAAGGGACGAGGGAGGGAGAGAGAGAGAGAGAGAGAGAGAGAGAGAGAGCAGCCTGAGGACACACGCGCTCGGACGGAATCAGTTCCCGTGGGTATCCCGCGAACTCGTGGTTCCCAGGAACGCGCACGCGACCCGGGGCAGGGAATGGGCCGGCCGATCAATATGGGGAACTTGGCGAACTCCTACAACGATACATCGTGCGGGTCTTTCCTTGTCTCAACGGGAGCCCACCACCTCCGCACGTGTGCGTAGATCATTACGTACACGTGTGCCCGTTCGTGTTCACCCCCATCGTGCGTCGCGGATTTATCGCTTTCAACGACGCGACAGCCAGGGAGACGGTCTAACGAGAAGAAATTACCGATGGGGTGTTACGATCACACCGAAGTCCCTTTCTCAGAACGTGTCTCTGGGTGCTATGCTCGCAAATGGGACATTACTTTTTCACGCTCGACCCCAAGAACCAACGACGTCATTGAAAAATTATAAATCAACTCTTTTTTTAAGTGAATGATACATTCATGAATGAATGATACATTTATTAGGTATTGTTTTCTTGTAATCGCTGTTGATATTCGCTGAATCGCTACAGCAATTTAAGGATTTGGGAATATTTTTGGTAAAAGAACGTTATAACGCAGAAGATTAATCGAACGGACACAGTTTTTGCATTTTATTTTGCTTACGAGCTGATGTAACAGGCTCGCGAATCAGGCATACTTACACTTTACAGCCTTTCAGTCTTCGCAAATATACAATAATTACGGAGAAGTTTCTAAATTATAATATGAAAAGCAATAACAATGATAATAATCGTGTGATAATAATATACTATTATATAATAATATAAAATCGACCGTTGTGCGATTAATGTTATAATAATAATAATGGTAATACAACTAATTTGCTACATTATCTACAATGAGAAGTTCAAGTAATACAGACTCATGACATTTTTCTCTCGCGCGAAAACTACAAAAGTAAAATAAACCCGATTCATTCGCAACCGGTTCTAAAAGCGGACGTGCGCTGTTTGCAATTAAAAGACAAGTGATACCTTATATTCAATTTTAATCTAATGCTTTCGAGCGAAAAAATAAAACCTAGATTAATCCTTTCTCCGCAAATCCTACGTTCGTTTGGAAACTTAAATATATAATTATTGTTCAAACCTGTTGTCGTGGACTTTATTCGTTTCAGAAGATGATGTTTTACGGAGTAAGGGTCAAAAAGAGAAAAGTACATAAATCTTTCTTTGTACAAATGTATATTATTTTGAAATGAAACAACAATGAGAAATAATGAATTAATTAAATCTCGCAGAAGCCACACTGATCACGTTTACTGAAATTCATCGTCCATTTTCTAAAAAGTCAAGTTTCTCGGTTGGGCTTCGGCTCAAATAATAATCGTCACGAAAAGAAATACCTCGATCGTATGCTAAGATATCTGTACACATGTAACGCAGATCGGATTGGAAGAGGATTACAAGGATCGGGAGTGTCGAAGGGGCGGGAATCAAAGGAAATGGAGTCGATTAAAGATAAGAAGAGAGTGCGAGGAATGCGGTGAGCTTTATGTACAAGTATTTACATCTTTCCTCGAAGAAAGAATCTAGGGTAGCCGCGAGGTCTGCTTCATTGCCCGTCTTCCACGTTCTTCGTTAGGCGCCACCAATGAAACGCTAAATATCCTTTCCTCTCGTTGCTAGTTGCGTTCCTTCCAGGTATCTGACTGTCAGGATCCATTCATCCCTTACTTTTCTTTCGTTCCTGAACGTTCGAAGCTTCGATAAATCTCTGTACAATCGAGGACGAGACACGGCCACGAAGGGCCGGGGTCTCGACTTAATTCCTCGAAGAAGGCTCGAACGGTCCCGCGACGTTGGAACACGGAGATCAGCCCGCGAGGACAAGAAACTTGCAGCGACCCGGACCTCACTGAAGCTCGTTCGCCGGCGCAGGTCACCGTTCCGCGACCATCCCGGTCATCGTACTGGTCGTCGAGGCCGTCGTCGTCGTCGAGACACTCGAAGAAGCGTTCAACAACGGTTGCAAAGGTTGTCTCGGCGTGGTTTTCGACTCGTGGTGCACGTTCGTCTCTTCAAGGGTCGTCTGCAGATCACAGATGTACTCGATCACCCTCTGGATCACCTCGAGCTTCGACAGCTTGCGCTTCCTCGGCATATCAGGCACCAGGGACCTCAGCTTCGTCAAATAAGCAGCCACTTCCTCTGCCTCCAAGTCGCGACGAGTTCCATTGATCCCGAGGCTGTTGTGCAAAACACCTCGAGTCGGTGGTACTCTCCCACCTACCGGGCTCACCACCATCGCTTTCATGTCGTTCGCGTGTTATTCTCCCTTCTGGTCGATTCTCCTACGTCGACGCGCGAGAGTTCGCTCGGCAAGCGGTCGAAAAATATGTGGGTCGTCGATTAACTCGATCAGGCACACCTCCGAAACGTACGGCCGTTTATCTGCCGGACGCCAATGCACACGCACCCCGTGTGTTTATCGATCCAACCCGCCAAAGCGAGACAGAGATTCTGGCCACGATCCGGATCTTTCCTCCTTCTTTTCGCTATTATCCACTTTGTTACCCTTCTGCCTCGCTCCTGTGTCTTTCAAATCACGAACGACACACACAGTCTCTGATGTCTACGTCTAATCACGAGCCGATCACACTCGCGAGGGACATTATCCCGGACGAACTCAAACGTTGACTCCTGATTCTCTTGATGACTTGTTCAACGAGTGCGCAAGAGGCGAATACTCTCTGCAGCAGTTACACGTCGCACTCGACGGATCGAAGTCAACTGGCCTCCGCCCCTCACCTGCACGCTTATATATAGCCTCCCCCCTCTTCGTTCAGCCCCCGACGCCTTCACTACCCGTACAGCGCTGCGCAGCGCAATCGCTGTCCGAATAGAATAGCGTTGGATTCGAATCGTTCACGAAACGGATTCTTATCGGACCTATTTATGCATACTCTTTGGTAAACATTTATGTATTTGCAACATTTTTCCTCGATCGAGAGAAGAAATATGTCGATATGTCCCCGATAATACAATCGATAATCTCGTTTGTAGCAAACACGACATCTGCCAGTGCATGTGAATTCGTCGTGCAAGATGACATTTAGTCTTGGTCATATCGATTGATTAAAATTTATTTGCAGCAGGATTATGGAATGGGAACTTTTACTTAAAAACAAGGGTAACATTTTCTGTTTAAAAATGTGGAAAGAAAAGCAGGGGGAGAATAGGCTGGGAAGAAAAAATACGACAGCTGGGGCAACCGACACGTGTCGCCAGCCGCCGCGAGCAATAATTCGCGGAAAAGCGGGCGGGAAATCTCGTTTCGAAGCTGGAAATTGTTCGGCTCAAAGCCGACCGTAGTCGGGGGTGTTTGACGACCATGGGACCAGAGGCGTCGGCGGGACAAGCCGGGCGTGGAAGAGAAGGGCGACGCCGCTAAAGCTAAAGCTGCCCACGACGAGGGGGCGAAGGAGCGGGTGGGGCGGCGGCGCTCCAGAGAGGGGTAAGGGCAGCAGCGGCAAGTTCTCGACACGGTCGGACGGGGTGGGAGTGCTGGCCGACGCGGTGCAACCTCGTCGAGGGGAAAAGGGAGACCCGACCATTGTTGAACGTCCGGCGGCGCCAGCCACTAGCCATCGCGGCTATATACATACCACTACCATCGTTGCCACCACGAGCGCGTCGTCTCTTCTCTCTACCACCATCAACGGCGACAACCACCGTACTCGTTCCGAAAGAACATCATGCAGATTTTTACAACGGAACATGATTCGTTACATCTTCCAAATTTGCGTGTAACAGTAGCATTATTTTTGTTAATATCTCAAAAACTGTCAGTTTCTATCGATTGGGACAAACGTTATGGCGATTCTTGAGAAGAAAGCTTTCGATTGATGTATCACATCCTACGACTCGTACCAAATATTAAAGCGGAGCCCAAAGTTATATATTCTTTATTTTCCTTAAAATATCCTTCTTATGTGATGTACCAAGACTTTCGTGAGTGACTGTACATACTCACGGTTCATGGACTCTCTCTCTTTCTCTCGGCATCATGCATCGCCAACCTGTATACACCATGATTCCGGCTACAATCTTTTTTACATCTCCAGCTAAGAATTACGGTGATAGCAGATCACTGCGATCTCTTCTACTATGATCGTTTACAATGTTTCTAAAAGCTGACATACAATAATTCACAAATTCGCATCAGCTCCTGAGGTCCTTTAATAGTTAGTTCCACAGCTTTTCGATTTCACTCTTTTCGAATATCTGGTTACTTCGACGTCTCGTTACCAGGACAAGCACCCGACGTCCGGCGTTACGAACGCGAAACCGGGGGAGTCCTTTATTAAGTATGCTACGTTTCGTCGTACGAGCCCCTTGAGACATCCCGACGAAATTGCGATCGTGCAACGCAAGAGGATTCTGATCCGCGGGGTGCCTTTTAGGGGATAAGTTACGAGCAATAACACAAATCAAAAGACGACACTTTTTACAGGAGATCAATTTTGAATCCTTTATAGCTGGAGGTCTTTAACAGGGACACATGTTTCAAGCATATATAGTTTATTTTACGATGTCGATATAATTTCATCTGTACTTTCCGATCGTTGCATACCATCGACGCTCGAGTTAATTAACATAAGCGCCTGGTATTTCTGATGCTTATCATCATACTTTTGTAACAATACATCGAGTAAGATAGACATTCTATCATTCAATCAAACTTTAAATAAATAAAAACTAAATTCCTATGAATAGATATGATCTTAAGACAATGTGATCCTTTGTATAAATCCAAGTACGTATTATAATTGTAGAAAGTTTTGGACATTACGTGGTTAGGAACGTTCAATGATAATCGAGCAATAACCATCAATGGCGATGTCACGATGAAGAGATCGTCGGCAGCCGGAGCGTGCAAGCGTTTCATGGAAAATTACAGATGAATAAAATCGAAGGAAACCGCCCGTGAGACTCGGGCACTTGCTCGGTTACGTAGCTCTGTACATGTGTACCTGAGCAACCGGATCTCATTGACTTCTTGACCTTCGCGTTTAAGAAATGGAGTTCCCTTGACCTGGGAATAAATAAACTGACGAAACCGCCGAGCGGCGATATCACTCCAGACCGTAGCGTATTTATACATTTGCCTCGTGGTAATCGCGGCTTCTTATACTACACGTATAAGCAGAGTATTAAGTGCTACTCGGTAATTGAAACCCGATACTCCGACACTGTTCCTTTATCAGTCATTATGTGATCGCCAGCTGGAGAGCCCATAACGACCGCTTAATCCGTTTGATTTCGTTAATTAATTGTTAGAATCAATTTCAGCTTCCTGTATAAGACTGGAAGCACGTGGATGGACACGAAATCGATTTTTTCAATGACACATTTTAGATATCCGTTTAATCTTAAAATAGTTTAATTAGTGTGAGAAATTCAAATTAAGATCGACGAGAGATAAGTTTCCTCAGGTTCTGACGCTTTCTAATAAACAGCCAGAGGAAGCGTCAACCAGTGTGCATATTCCTGGCGTTACAACACCGGCCCGCTCTCTCGAACGTTGATTACCGCCAGAGACGTAGTTCATTCTCCACCGTGAGGTAATTACCCCCGTGCGCTCTCCTATTTTTAACCCTTGCTCTCACCTACACGCCTCGTTTCGTCGGACACGTCTTTTTCGTACGGCCGGGCCAGTTTCGGCACTGGACCGAGAAAAAGCCAATGTCCGCGCTATTAGAAACCGGAATAATAACGCGTCGCGTGACAATTCAACGAGATACTGAACACGACCGTAGGAAGTGACTAGAATGCCAGACACGTAGCCGTCTCACCGGATCCTCATTGACTATGACTCGAGCTTCATTCGAAATTAACCCCGGAGAACGGGGTGACATACGTGTGCAACTGGTTGGATAAATTAAAAATGCAAATTGAGTATAGGAGCGAGAAACTAGTCAGTAGATAGCAGATGTCATTAAGGATGTATTGGCTATATAGTCAATCCCAAAAGTTTATGCACTTTAGAAACGCATTTTTTAAAAAGAAATCAGACGTCGGAAGAACATTGCTGATAATAAACAACAAAAAAAATTTTTCGATTTTTCCAAGATTTTTCCAAGGGGTACCCCTTCAATTTCTTCGAAATTTTCGTTTTTTGCCAATAACTCCCAAACCGTTGGACATACGGAAAAATTGCATAAAACCTTTCTTGTAGAGGACGACGAGATCTACAATTTCTGTATAAAAACATTTCGCTAGCGTCAATACTTTACGAGTAATTTGCAAAAAACTGTTTTTTCGTTTTTCGTCAATAACTCGTAAACTATTAACGCTAACGAAAAACTTTTATATAGAAATTGTAGATC